TCGTCCTCCTCCACCTCGCCCTCGCCCCCCTCCTCGCCTCCGCCCTCCTCTTCACCGCCGTCGTCGTCTGTATATTCGCCCTCGTCGTTTCCAGGGTGGGCGGGGATAGTAGTCGCGTGATTAGGCCCCGACGGTCCTGCGTTATCTTGCATCGCCCAAGTGGACCTGAATTCGGATTTCCGCTTGTTCCTGCCGACTCCAGTGATCGAGTCGTGCTTCCGTTTCATCTCTGGATCCTTTTCGAGGGCCCTTTGCCACCTCCCCGCCACGGACCCATGTTTTCCATCCGTTGTTACAAACCAGTTCCCCTGGGCGATATCTTCCCAAAACTTAAGCTCGGCTGACGCAGTGCCCTTGTTGCGGCCAGCGCTGGCGGCGTCGGTGCTGCTACCGGATCCATCTGGAGCTGGCTCCGACGTCGCGGCCCTCTGGGGAAGCAGGCCCCACTTCTCTGGATTCACCAAGTGGCCTTCGCCGTCCACGTCCTGGGCCAATGACTGCATGACGGCGTTCAAATCGCGATGTCCTTCTGGAGGGCAAGGCAGAGGGGGGCGCAAGTGCAGGAAGACATGCAGGAGGGGCAGGGGCAGGAGGGGCAGGAGCAGGAGGAGGAGGAGGAGGACGACGAAGAGGAGGAGGGGGGGGAGGTGGACGAGGGGGGAGGAGGGGCAAGAAGAGGAAGAGCTGAAACAGGAGGAGCAGGAGGTGGAAGAGGGGAGAGGGGCAGGGGCAGGAGCAGGAGCAGGGGCAAGAGGAGGGGCAGGAAGAGGAGGCACAGCAGCAGGAAGAGGAGGAGGAGGAGGAGGAAGAGGAGGAAGTGGAGGAAGAGCAGGAATAGGAGCAGTCCTTTGTCCGACATCAAGTCTTTGACCTCGCTGGAATAATACGTTTTCTTGAAAACGTCGTCGATGCCCAGCTCGTCGACGTCCTGAACCCTGTCGACCAAGTTCTTGATCGACTCCTGCCAAAGCGGCGGATGAAGCAGCGACGAAGCCGAGAAATGAAGCACAAAGAGTTTGAACTATTCGCCGAGAAATTCAGCAGTAGGCGCTTGGCGAACGAGAAAGGGATGCAGCGAACGATCGAGATGAAGGCCCCTGTGGGGGTCCTCCCTCGAGTCGATCGCTGCCCCCCCTCTGCGTCGCCCGATAGCTAACCGCTGGTCTCTCAGTGAACATTTCCGAGAGAAGCAGTGGAGAGGTTCGACAGCCCAGATGCTGCATATCACGGAGCTGACGCGCAGCGAGGCGCATTCGAAACGAATCCAGCTGATGGCGACGCGCTCTGGGGGGCCCCAGCTGTCGAGTCTCTCGCCCTCGCCATCGTCGCTGTCGACCTCGTCGGTCGTGGTCGTCGTCGGCGTGCTCTCCATGCCCATAATTTACTAATATCCGAGCCGTCGTCGCCCTCCCTGTACTCCCGAACCTCCGCCCACTCACCCGCCTCGCGCCCCTCGCCCCCCCCCCCCCCGTCCTCTCGATCCTCCTCTCACTCATTCTTCCCCGCGCCTCCCCCCTTCTTGCCCGATGCCCAGTAGCGTTGAAAATAGGAGTTGCGAGAGGGGAGTGGGCGGGTGGAGTTTTGAGAAGCGTGGGGAGGGATGCTGATGTGGATCATGATGATGTTGTCTTGTCTTTTGCACGGCCCCCTCGCCGAGCCCTCGTCGTCCCAGCCGAGAACAGACCGAGCACGGCGACCGACGGCTAGTCAAAGAAGTCCCCGTCGCTTGTCGGCAAAGCCCAGGCCGCCCCGCCCCTCTTGAAGGTGTTCCCCTGGCCCTGCGGGCGGCCGTCGCCGCCGTGCTCGGTGATGCCCTGCGTCTCGCTGCTGTGCTCGGTGATGCCCTTGGTCTCGTTGCCGTGCTGGGCGATGCCCACGGTCTCGCTGCCGAGATGGCCTTTGGTCTCGCCGCCGTGCTCGACGATGCCCTTGGTCTCGCCGCCGTGCCCGACGATGCCCTGGGCCGCGGCGGCTTTCTCGGCGGCGCTCTTCGCTTTCTGCTGCTCGGTCATGGTTATCGGTGGCGCCTTGCACACGACCTTGCTCGGCGTCGATGGCTGTGCAGAAGTCCGCGGCGCACACTTCGCAACCGCCTGCTGCTCGGGGGTCGCTGGATCCGGGCTCGTCGGCTGCACGGTCGGCTTGCCCCTCGGTACTTTCTGCGGCGGTGGCGTCTCGGGCAAAGCCTGCGCCTTCGCTTTGCCCTTCGCCTTGCCCTTCGCTTTTCCCTTCGGCTTCGGTTTGGGCTGCGCCTTCAAGGTGTCGCCGTCTTCGTCGCCAGACTCCTCCTTGGGGCTATCCTCGCCATCCTGCTGCTCATCTGCGAACTCGCCGCCGTCCTCATCCGAGCAGTGCACCGCTGGCTTGTCGTCGTCCACGCCCATGTCCTGATCGGCCACCTTCGATTTCGTGCCCTTGCCCTTGGCCTTGTTCGTCTTCTTGTGCTCGCGAAGCCACTCGTTCTTGAGCGCCTCCCCCTGCGCCTTGTCGACCTTGCCCGAAATATATTTCTGCGCCAGGCTGATCATGAGCTTCCTCGCTTCCCCCTCGTGGCTGGTGTCGTACCCCACCAGTTGCATCCATTGTTTCGTGCCACTCTTGTTCTGGATCCAGTTGCCCCTGCTCGCGTGGTTGACCGTGGCAGCCCTCGCCTTCTCCGAGCCATCCTTGGTCTTCTTCGTGCCATCCCAGATCCCGAGGTCGATCCTGGACTTCGATTCCTCGGCGCCCTCGGGCTTCGTGTTGGGGATGGCCCACGTCGTGCCGTCAGGCCACTCGGCGATGAGAGTCTCCGCGCCGTCTCTCGCCTCCCCCCTGGCATGCTCTGGCGCGGACTCTCCCTCGCGACGCCTCCAGGCAGCCTTGGCGACGAGGAACTTCAGATGAACTCCTATATCCCCAACGAGCGTCGCTCCTTGGACATCCCCTGGGTCGAGTTCCCAATGCATTGGGAAATTCGTTGGATTTTCAAAGCCACACCTTCAAACGTGACCTCGCCGAGGTCTGGGGGCCGAAAAACTCCTGGGCTGGGAGCGGGGTGAACCTTGAAAAAGGAACCGTCATCGTAGGAGTCCATCCGAAGTTCCACCCGTCGCGACTCTCGATGACCTCGAGCTTGGCGACGGGCCCCTTGTGCTTCTCCCTGGAGGCCGCCGCAACCTCTGCCGCGCCATCTGCCGGATCGGCCGCGGCAGCCATCCCGCCCGCGGCGGTCGTTGCCGCTGGCCTCTTGAGAGCCCTGCCGCCACCGCCGCCGCCCTCCATTTCGTCGTCGCTGTCCTCCTCGGCGTCGCCGCCGTCGGGCTCGGCTGAGGTCTCGTCGACGAAAACATTTGCCCATGCGGTCTTCCTCGCGATCGCAATTGGGGCTCGTGGAACCTGACGCTAAGAAATCGACCAGCCCCGATGGTTTCTTCTGCTCGGGATTGGGCCGAGCGAAAAACTAAAAGACCGATCCGAAAACTAACGCGCGAAATCAGGATGGCATTTCTACCCTGGGTGTCTTGGAGACTGCCTGCGCAGCATGTCGCACCATTGTTCTGATCTGCTTTGCCGTGTCGGAAGCCCATTTCTTGGCCTCGTCGGCAGTCAGGCTCCACGAGGCCAAGTTGCGTTGCGCCACCAGCTCGAGACTCTCCTGGGGGAGGCAACAATCCGATCGCCCCGACCCTGGAACCCTGGGGCCCTGAGACCCTGGAGCCCTGAGACCCGGAGACCCTGGGCGGTAAACATTTCACCGCGAGCCCCTCCTTGGCGATGGACTTGCACACGTACTTTTCACGGGGCGAGTCTCAATCAGGAGATCTTTCATCTTGAGAATGAGATTTTTTTTTGACAGGGGCTTCGGATACGTTGCCAACCACATGCTGTACATTCTCTGCGGTTGTGATGTGGAATGCCCACGTGCGCGACAGCAGCTTGACGATGTCAGCCCTGGCCATATCCTGGCCCCTCGCCTTCGGAGCCATGCCCCGCAGCAATCACGAGGCCAGCGCCTCCGATTCACCGAAAAGAAAGTCGGGGGCCAACATGGCTACGGAATGACGCGATGACGTGATGATGCATGAGGGCTAGTGGAGGCGGGGAGAGGAGGGGGGGGAAAGGGGGAGGAGGGGGGAGGAGGGAAAGGGGGGAAATATCAGCGCTGAGCGGCGCGGAAGCAGGGGGAGGAGGGAGAGGGTGGGGAGGGAGGAAGGCCAACTGGCGAGGGAGAGGAGGGGCCAGGGAGAGGAGGGAGAGGAGGCCAAACAGCATCCCCAACGCGTGCCGGATGAGACCAGGCCTGCGTTTGGGGTCCACGGGGGGTCGAGTTCGACGCGAGCCCAACGCGACGTCCGAAGCAATTCGATTGCGAGTGATGTTGCGAGTTGCGTTGGGCCGTCGCGAAGCTCGACCCCCGTGCGGCCCCCAAGCGTGCGGTCCAGCGAGACTAGCAACAGGGGCGCGGGGCGGGCGGCATCGCTCCTCCAGCGCGCTGAAGACCAAACCCGCCTTCTTCGCCGACGGCCGAATCGGCTTCGGAGGGGTCGTCATGTTCTCGGGGCGGCGGGGGCCGCGATGCCGACGACGACGATGACGTCGACTGCGCTGGCGACGGCCTCGACGACGACTGCGACGACAAGACGAAATCGGCCATCGCGATCGCGATCGTCGTCGGACATCGACGCAAGAGGAGGAGCAAGGAGGGCGGATGGAGGAGGGAGCAGGGAGGAGAGAGGAAGGGGAGGAGGAGGAGGAGGAGGAGGAGGAGGAGGAGGAGGAGGAGGAGGAGGAGCGAGAGGAGGAGGAATGGGGGAGGAGAGCGGAGGAGGAGGCGGGGGAAGGAGCATGAGGAAGAGGAGGAGGAGGAGGAGGAGGAGGACGAGGATGGGGGAGGAGGAGGAGGGGGAGGAGGAGGAGGAGGAGGAGGAGGCGGAGGAGGAGGAGGAGGAGGAGGAGGAGGAGGAGGGATATGATGATTGAAGAGCACCCTCCTGCTCCTGCGGGGCCCCGTTGAGCACCCTGTGGATGTTTTCAGCCCTCGCCAGCCTGGTGCTGTCGATCGTCGCCGCGCGGAGGTTCTCCGCGTCCTCCTTGCGCTGGGCCTCCCGCTGCCTCTTCTCGAGCTCCGCGAGCTTCCTGCTCTCCTCCAGCGCGCGAGCCTCCTCGTCATTCTCCTGCTGCAGCGCCTCCTGTCGCTTCAGCTCAAGCTCCGCGGGTTCGCGGCTCTCCTGCAGCACGCGAGCCTCCTCGTCATTTCTCCTGCTGCGACGGCTCCTCCTGCTCAGCTGGAACGTCGTGGTCGAACGACGGCTGCCTGTCGTTGCCATAATTGCACGGCGACTGCGACGGCAACGTGTCGAGGTCGATGGCACCGACGTCGTTGCCGCTGAAGCGAGGGGGTTCCAACTTGACGTGGAAACGGCCCCAGGGCGCAGCCTCTGCCGCAGGCGCCTCCGCAGCCGAAGGCGGCGGCTCCTCGGCCGCCCGGGTCGGCAGCTGCGCCGAGGTCGGAGCTGACGCCGAGGTCGGAGCTGAAGCCGAGGTCGGAGCTGAAGTCGGGCCCGCCAAGCTGTCCACGACAGCGATGGGCGAAACGGCGTTCTCCGTCGGCATGTTGTCGATGACTTCGATGGGCGAGATGGCGTTCTCCGTCGGAGTGCCACCTTCATCATCGACTGCCATGTCCTGGGAAGTGTCGATCTGGCTGCGAAACGCGGCTGCTCGGCGTCGCCGTCCTGGGGCAACATGGCAGGGGCAGGGGTCGTGGCGTTGTCCTTGGGCTGCGTGGCAGGGATCGTGGCGTCGCCACTCGGCGATGGCGAGGGCGATCTCATCGCGCCTTCAATCTGCGTCGACATGCCTCCCGAAAGTACGCGGAACTTCGGCACGAGTTCACGTGCACCTGGGAACCCCTCAGCCAAAATGGCTATGTACGGGGAGGGTGGGGGAGGAGGTGGAGGAGGAGGAGGAGGAGAGGGAGGATGGTATCCTCCTCCTCCTCCTCCTTTTCCTTCTCGTCCTCCTCCTCCTCCTCCTCCCTCCCTGCTCCCTGCCCCCTGCTCCTCCCTCCTTTTCTCCTTCCTCCCTCCTCTCCCCCCATTCCCCCCCGTCCTCCCTCCTCCTCCATCCTCCTCTTTCCTCCTCCGTTCTCCTCTCCTCCCTCCTCCTCTCCTCCTCCTCCTCCTTCTCCTCCCCCTCCTCCTCCTCCTCCTCGCCTCCTCCTCCTCCTCCTCCTCCTCCTCCTCCTCCTCCTCCTCCTCCTCCTCATCCGTCCTCCTTCTCATCGTCGTCGTCCTCCCCCTCCTCTTCCCCCACCTCCTCCCTCCCCTCCCCTCCTCCTCCTCCTCCTTCTCCTCCTCCTCCTCGTCCTCCTCCTCCTCCTCATTCTGCCCCCTGCTCCGCCAACGGTCGAGTGCAACGGCGCGTGTGCGCATGTGGACAACATGCAACTGTCGACCTGATCGTTGCTAGAAGGTGGCCCCACCTCCGCCCCCTAGACATCCCCGAGACATCCCCGCTGGCATTTCCCCAGTCATCCACCTAGACATCCCTCTAGACGCCCCTTAGGCATCCACCTAGACATCCCTCTATAGACATTCCAAGATTGGGCGCGCGATTACAAAAGGCTCCGCATGCCGCCGAAAAGCGCGCAAGGCGCATGAGTACACTACATGCCCAAGGTCCGCAGGCTCTGCTGTCAATGAGCCGCTCCCGCGTGTGATTGTGTTGCGCGAGCCGCCCCGCTGCCCTGAATCAAGGCTTCTCGGCGTGTGAGTCTGATTTCTTTAATGTATTTGAAAGTTTGCGTTTTGCGCGGCGCGCGCGCGATGTTTTATGGCGCGTTGTTTATGGTTGGTTTATTGTTGTTTTTTAAAAGCGCTATAAAATAGAATATTTTTTGTGCTGTCTTTACCATGCAATTCTATGTTATAGAACTTTCAACCCTCAGGGATGCGAGCGCGTGGGCCCCAACTGGTCGAATCGCGCAGAGATGTGTGGAACCTCATACTCGGCACCTCTGCCTGGAACCCTAGGAGTGTTGAGCCCCGTGCCCAAACGGCGTTCCCCGCGGCTTGACCCGGGGCCTGTGCGGCAGCCGCCCGCCTGCCTGCCTGAGATACGGCCGCGCCGCTGGCAGAAAACGTGGACCCTTGTATGTGTGTGTGTGTGTGTATGTCTTGGCATCGCTCGGACGTGTGCATTTCTTCTCGGCGAGGACCATCGAGGAGCATCTTGAATCATCGAGCCAGCAACAAACACACGCACGAACTTCCTGTGTGCGGTGCTGCGTGTGGCACTTTACGATACACACACACACATATATATATATATATATACACACGCATATGTATATATATATATATATATATGTTTATCGAGAGTGATATGTGTTGAACTTCACATGTGAGGCGCTGCCTATTTGACCTTGCGTGTTTGTTTGAGTTTGTGTGTGTGAGTGTGTGTGTGTGTCTGTGCGTTCGAGCGTTTTTTCGTTATTGCTTTGGGCATGATGGGCATTCTAGCCCCCGGCCCCCCCTCCCCCCTTTATAACGCAACGCCCCCTCCCCCCCAGTGCGCTCGGGGCACTGCCGCCGTGCGCACGGCGGGGAGGAAGCGTTACATTATACTTCCCCCTGGCTCATCCCCCCCCTATGATGCACATTATCGCAGAAAATATAGAAACGCGCTCTTCGTGGAACGTTCTGTGTCTAGGAACCACAGGGGAAACACCCATAGAAACCCAATCGGTCACAGCGCCAGCCACCCAGAGGAACCCACAGAAGCTCTACGCCGGCAACCCAAGCATGGAACCCATTGGAACCCAAACGGGCAGCAGGACGTGCGCCAGCTACCTGCATAACCCCTTTAGGAATCCCAGCGACCACCATAAAGTGCACCAGGAGGCGACTTTTCTCGTTTGCAAAGTTCCGTGAGGCTTGGAATTACATGGTTTTGGCCTGAAGCCACCGACCCCGCGGCCGCCAGCATTGGTTGCACTGGCATGTCAGTTGTCAATCCCAATGCCATCCCCAACGTCATCACAACCGCTATCATCACTGCTAGTCTCATCTTCGTCCCCATCATGACGACATCGTTTCTGGATGGCTTCAGCCGATGAGGGGTCAGGAGGTTGCGGGTGGACCAATGTGTAAATGATTGGTTTGTTGGGTGTGTGTGTGTGTTATGTGTTCGGGATGTTGTGTTTCTCAGGTTTCTGAAAGTGCATTGGGACAAGAATCGTGGGCCATTCCAAGGGTGACATCTTCAATGCACTTTGTTTGTGGCGGCGGGGGAGACTTCCCAGAACAAGAGAAGTATGACGTGTCGTGGCTGGCTAGGGCGGGACCCAGATGCACGCGTGGCAGCATGCATTTTCAGCGCCTAGCTCCCGTGTGGGCGGGTACGCTAGCCCTCGGGGTGAGTATCCAGCCCGTGGCCTTCGCATGCTCAGCATACAGTCGAGGCTGATTTGTAGGTCGACCCTGGCAAGTCAAGGATACCCTTGTGTCCTGTGTTTTGCGACCCGTGCCTTCCTACACTCTTATGGCAATGTGGCTCTCAGAAGGGTCTTGTGTCCTCTCGCGTGTTCTCTCCAATTAACCCGACTGTATGAATTCAGTCGCGTATGTCGTTGCAGCTTCCTGGCGCGCAGTTGCTGCGCGAAGGCTCCTCTTTACGTCCATTGCCGAAGAAGTGCATGTGAGAGCACAGCGTGGCGGCTCACAGCTTGCAGGCGGATCCTCACTTTCTAATGGTACCCGCCATCGGACAAATGAATGGTTGGGTAGTTCCAGCCGTGCGAGTTTGTCCTCTCCCGAGGCTCTTTCCTTGGCACCAGGTGGGGTGTGCCTTGGTCATGCAGAGATTCTCCGTCTCCGGTGTCAGGGCGGTCTTGCTCCTCCACATTCCTCCTCCTCCTCGCCCTTCCTGCTTATCATCCCCCTCCTTCTACAGTCAACCCACATGGGAAGGATGAACGACTTGCCAAGGTTGCCCTTGCATCCCTCCCCTTCGGCATCCTTGGCCGCTTTCGCTGGCCGCGCCCCGCTCGCAAAGTGCCGACTTTGCCTTCCAAGGCCCTTGCATCCTGTTCGTGTGGCCTAATTTTACGGGGTGACTGAATCTGTGATTTCCTCCCGATCTTGGTTCTCGTCCTTCTCTTCTCGTGCCCGCCGGCGCCGTCGCCGCCACGCGCCTCTTGGCTCCGCGGATAGGGCACCGCACCGCGCGCGAAACTGCGCCGCATCTCGCGCTCATCGAGGCCAGCGGCGGCATGCGGCAGTGCGCGCGTCGCGAGAATTGGGACAGAGGGTCAATGCGAACGGGGGTCAGTCAGAGCGCCTTATCTCGCAGAGACAGGGGAGCATTGACCCGGGCTTACCTGCAGGATCTTGCAGGATCCTCCTGCAAAATCTTGCTGGATCCTGCAAAGCTTGACTGACCTCGGTTTGCAATGACCCAGGTCAGTGCGTCTCTGAGCGTGGAGGAGGAGAGTGAGGGTGAGGGTGAGGGGGGCGAGGGTCGTTCAGGGTGAAGGTGCCGAGGTGGGAGGAGGTGGAGGAGAACGTTGGAGGACGCGGAGCAGGATAGTGGAGGAGGACGAGAGAGGCGGACGAGCAGGGAGGAGAAAAGAGTGGAGCAGAGGTGTCAGAAGGGAGGTGCAGGAGGGAGGAGGAAGGGGAGCGCTCGAAGAAGGGGCCTCCTGCTGCTAGAACTGACCTGGCACAGCCTTGCCGCAGGTGGCCATCTGTAGAGAAAGTGTCGGCGGGCACGCCTGGGGGGGCCTTCCACCTCAGTGCGGGCCCCTCCATGCGGACAAGACTTATATCCATATCCGGTGCGTCTTGGACTTTCTCGGAAGGGGCGCATCAAGGCCGAGGCGCACAGGATATGGATAAACATCGAGCTTCTGGGGGCAAATCTATCCGTATCCAGTGCGCCTCGGGTCTCCGGGGAAGGGAGCCCCAAAACTCCATACTGCCAGTGGATTTTATGGGCAGAAATTTGGCCCCCGCACTCCATATGGGCCGCCCCCGTGCTGGGGGCCGCCCCGTCTTTCGGAGGTGCCACTGTCGTGCCGCTGCGGGCGTGACGTGCGGTGCGCGCGCGTGTGCAGCAGTCGAGGCCTGCTCTTTGGATTCAGAAAGCTTGGTTTTTTAATTCCAAAAACTTTGAATACAAAAACCCGCTCTTTGATTGCGATCAAGAAATCCACCCAGCTCGGCCCGCACCCGTCCTGGCGGACCCGTGCGCCTCGGTGGCGGCGTCCGCGAGGTGGCGCCGACGAAGGGACGGGCGTTGCGGGCCCGCTCGGAGAAGGGGGCGAGGGAGCAGGATCAGCAGGAGGAGCAGGAGGAAGAGGAAGGAGGAGGAGCAGTAGGAGGAGCAGCAGGAGGCGGAGACTGGTGTGAGGATGGAGGGGAAGGGGGAGGAGGAGGGGGAGGAGGACGGGGAGGAGGAGGATATGGAGGCGGAGGAGGAGGAGAAGGAGGAGGAGGAGAAGGGGGAGGAGGAATGGGAGCCAGAAGTGGTTGGAGCAGAGGTGCGACCAGGGAGGAGAAGGAGGAGAAGGAGGAGGGCCCGAGTAAACCCAAGATGCATCAGCGATGCTACAATACACTCTCCCGTCTCAAGTCTCCCCATCATACTTCCCCGCACGCGTTCGTTTTCGCTGCGAGAAGCGCCCCCTTGAAAGACCACTAAAATGGGCCTGCCATTTGGGCGAGGGCTCCTTTCTGGCGAAAGGACACCCTCGATGCTTTGACATTGGTGCAGCCTTGCAACCACATGTGCGCGGCGCCCAGGCGAGAGCCACATTTTGAACGCACCCCCGGTCATCTTTGAGACCGTTTCGCATTTCAAGCTTCAGGTTCATGAGAGGCGAGGGAGTCTCGGGCGACGCAACCAGCCCGCCATGCCCACACCCTCTGGGGCTGCGACAGATGACAGGAGGTGGAGGACGGATATGGATGCGGGAGAGAGGTCGAGGAGGGCGGGGGGGAGGAGGGGGATGCGGAGGAGGAAGGGAAGAGGGGGAGGGATGGAGGGACAAGGGGGAGGAGGAGAGGGCTAAGGAGCCCCTCCCCCCCGGGCTCGCAGAGGCCGCGCGCCCACGCGCGTGTTGTCCGCCATCCTCCGGGCGATCGGCCAGAGTCTTCCTGGCGAGCAGCCATGGTGGGGACGGGCCGCGGCGCAGGGAGAGCAGGATGAGGAAGTGGGCGGAGCGGGGGGGAGGAAGAGGAGGAAAGGGCTGGAGGACAGGGGTAAGGACTGACGGTGAGGATGCCGAGCGGGGCGGGGTGCCCGCCCCCAGCGGGGGGCAGGTGTACAGCGCCGCGCAGTGGTGCCCTGGCAGCGAGGCTTTCTGCCTGCAGGCGCCGGGGGGTGCCCCATCCCTGCGCGGCCTGCTGGGGCCCAACGGTCACCGAGCGCGTTCCACCACTCGCAGAGTGCCTACTCGCAAACGTCTGGAAAACATGACACCACTAGAGAAACACCCCAATCAGTGGATGGTTTTGATTCGTGGGGTCGATATCTACATCCATACGGAGATCGACCGGGAACCCGGGAATTCGGAACCTATACCGAAAAATCGGCCCGGAACCAATAGGCAAGAACCCGGGAACCCGGAACCGGGAACCCGGGAACCTAGCCGGCCACCAAAATCGGCGGGAAGTTTTCGCCAAATCTCTCATTTCCGCCAGGACCTTTTCAGTACAAGTGTCGATTGGGGAACATGCTTGCCTCGATGTAGTGGATCGTCAATCCCCCGCGGCGAATCCATGCCATTTGCGAGTAGCTACTCTTTGCGAGTAGTGGAGCGCGCTCGTCTAGACAAGCGGCGGCGGAATCCGCACCTTACCCTCGGCCGATCCACGAGTCGGACAACTCGATGGGCGGCGGGGGCAGGGCTCGAGATTCGTCGAACACGTGGCCAAATCCGAAGCGAACCTCCGCCTCCCGATGGTTGGTGGGGGTCGGGTTCGGATGTCGGCACCCACGAGACCCGAGAATCTAGTTGGGCTCGAGTTTGCTCAGCGGCTTCGGCGACAATGTTTTATCATGTTTTCGCTTCCATCGAGCTGATTGCACACAATTTTCGCTCACCGTTCGCGCGAAATGGACTCATTAGCGATGGATGGCTCATCTCAGTGGATCCAAAGTGGCGTCCACGACGCGACTCGCAAAGATAACGAATGCTCCGGCCCGCATGGAGCACGCAGTGGCACCAGTACGGGTGCTTCTACGACCGCGTCAGCGATTAAGTATTCGATGATTTATTCGAGGCTTACGTGGACCCTGACTCATTATACCCTGGCGTAGACCTTGCAATCGGTCAACACGTAAGACCACCCCATCAGGAAGCCGAGCGGCGGCGAGTCCTGGAAGACCGTCGACGAGTTCGACCGCCCGCGCGGGCGTCGGCGGGCGGAAGCCAGAGGCAGCCACCCATTCGAGAACGCTTGGCAGTCGACCTGGGTCGGCCCTGGCGCGCCCTCTCGACCTGGAGGCGTTCCGCTGCTCAGTATCGTTTAACCGACCCCCATCCCCATCCCCATCCTCTTCGAGACCCCCACCAAATTACCCCCCCAGGCGGGGATACATCCCTCGAAACCCGAAGGGAACGCCCCATATCCCCATCTAGGGGGGCCCGTGGGAGTATGGATCGGATGCTCAGCTGCTCCATGGCCAGCCGCTGCCGCCAGGGCAGGAAGACATCCCCATTTGGAAGTCGAGCGGCGGCGAGTCCTGGAAGCCCGTCGACGAGTTCGACCACCCGCGCGGGCGTTCGAATTCCGACGTTATGTTTAGCGTGTTTGCGCGGCGGGTTTCCCGATGGGTTGTCGTTCAGCTCGTCTTGACATGCTTCTCGAGTCTGTTGCCGCCTCAACCGTTGTCTCGGCGAGTTCTCGAGCCATGGCAGAGAGGTGAAAAACAAACAGAAACAACAACAACAACAAACAATAAACCAAACAGGGGCGTGCTATTGGCATGTTTCCCCCTTCCGATTCTCGGCGTCGAGCGGGGGGGGGGAAGTGAGAAGGGGCGGGCCTTCTCAGAATCCCCTCGAGCCCTCCTGGCCTTCTGAGAAGTGTTCTAAGCCTTCCCCGAAGACACAGAAAACTTCTCAGAAGGCGCGAGGGTTTCTGAGCAGTCCCCGCACCTTCTGCGAAGGCCTTCTCCTCCTCGCTTCCCCCCCTGGGCGCGCCGCCGAGCTCAGCTCTCCGGTCATACCCCGGGTCTCCGGCGGCCGCTCGGGACGATCCGGGCATCGCCGACACGCTGTCGGCGAGGCGCAGCCAGTGGAACGCATCCCGAGGCCGAAACACGGGCATGAAATCGCCAACACGCCCGAAGCCCTCCAGCCTCCAATCTCGAACCGCGAACACCTCGAGAACCTCGCTCGCCGCCGGGATTCGCGTGGCGGTTTCTCCTCCCAGGGGGGGGCGTCGAAGGACGAATGCCCCTCTGGGGACCTCCGCAGGGGCCGTCGGAGGCCTCCGGCGACCTCCAGGGGCCCTCCGCGGGCCCGAGGCCGCGCGAGGCCCGCGCAGGTGTGCTCGGGCCAGCGTCGTCGAGGCTCGAGGGTCGAACACCGAGGATCGCGGCTCGAGGAGTCGCGGGTCGGTCCTCCTCCTCTTCCGCCTCCGCCTCCGCCTCCGCCTCCGCCTCCTCCTCCGCCTCGGTCCTCCTCCGCCTCCTCCTCGGTCCTCCTCCTCGGTCCGCTATTTTCCGCTATTTGCCGCGGCATGAGGGTGATCCCTGCGCCGCATCTCCTCGGTCCTCCTCCTCCTCTTCCTCCTCCTCGGTCCACCTCCTCCTCCTCCTCCTCCTCCTCCTCCGCCTCCTCCTCCTCCTCCGCCTCCGCCTCCGCCTCCGCCTCCGCCTCCGCCTCCGCCTCGAGGATGGGCTGGGCAAAGCGCGTGCCGACGCTGAGCTTCTCTCGGGCCTCCGAGCCAACGGCGCACGACCAGGGCCCGCGGCTTGGTTCGCTCGGAGGGCGCAGCGCGTGTGTCTGGGACCGTGCTGTTGGTCCTCACCACCCACCAATCCACCCCAACCCAACCCGAAGGCTCAGATTTACCCTCGATTTCCAGTGGGGGGGGGTCGGGAAACGTCGAAAAAACACATGTGGAACCCTTACCCCCCCCAACCCAAAATTCGGGTCTTCGGGTTGGGTTGGGGTGGTCTGGGAGGTAGTCAGGTCCCTCCCTGATGGAAAGGGGGTCCCCGGGGCCGGCGGCGAAACGGCCCATGGGGTCCCTCCCGGAGGGTCGAGGATCGAAAGTCGGGGGTCGAGTGGCCTCCCCTTGGGCCTTTCGGGGGCCTCCGAGAGCCTCTGGGCGAGGACCTCTGGACCCGAAAGCCGCCCCAGAGGCTCCTCTCCAAACTCGGCTCCGGGGCCGCCGCTGTCGAGAACGACACAACAACAGGGGTGGATGTGTTCGGCTCGCTTCCTGCCTCCAGCAGCCCCGCGCGCCCTGGCCCGGCGGCGCGCATGGCTGCTGCCGCCCGCAGGCTGCTCATCGTCGAATTCTTCTGCGCCTGAGCGTCCCTCTTTCCTCGTTGGCCTCCCCCCTCCCTCCTTGCACGCCGGTCAATTCGCCAGTTCGTGCCCCTACCTGGCTGTTACGCTGGTGCGGATGTTGCCGCCTCGCCGCTTGTGAGAGAAGTCTCCACAGGAGCCCCGTGCAGGCCCTGGGGCCGTCGGACGTCGATCCCGAAGGCGCACTGGCCAGGAGGGGCCCCAGGAGGAACTCGCGAGCCGATTGTGAAGGCCTGACGGCCAGTGCCGCCGACCCTGAAAGACATCGACGACGGCCAGGAGGGGGAGCAGGAGGAGAAGGAGGAGGAGGAGGAGGCGGAGAGAAGGAGGAGGAGGAGGCGGAGGAGGAGGAGGAGGAGGAGGAGGAGGGGGCCCCAGGAGGAAAAATCGGGAATCGAGTTTGAACGGACTGGTCGGGCGAGGACGGAGGATCGAGGCGTCGAGCTTTTGCTGTTGGTTCCAGCCTTGATTGGGCCCCCCTTGATCGGGGGAGTGGATATCATGGCGGGGGCCATGATATTTCCTCAGATTTCATGGTGCCTCTTCTTATTTCATTTTCCCTGCCCCCTGGGCTGCGCGCACATGCCGCCGACCATGATTTGCGCCCCCACCCTCTTGGACGCCCCCCCCCCTTGGCCGCCCCCGACCTGAAATCCTGGCCTTTCAATTTCTGCACGACGGGCGCTTCCGCCCAGTGTCGGGCCCAAGGGCTCGAGAAATGAGACATGACGCAGGAAGATGGGGTCCGGAGCTGTCTGGTCGCGATTTTTCAGGAGGTTGCAGTTGATTTCCAACCTCGGATCTCAGGGTCTGGAGGCCTCGGGCCCCTGGAAGCCCATGACATAGGGGCAACGAAAGGGGATGCATCGATGCATCGACCCCCAATCGCCCCTTGATCGTCGAGGGGCTTATTAGCCTCAAACCTGCCCAGGAAAGAGCGGATTCACTATCGGGGGCCTATCGCCGATCTATTGGCGATGTATCGCCCGTGCGTCCCCCAAAATGCCAGTCCCCCCTAGCGTTCCTAGCGTTGCCCCTCACAACGGTGCCCGCGGCAACATCTCGTCCCGCAAATTGGGTCGAGAGCTCCAGGGACGCGACGTGGAAAAGACGCATCGGAGACTTCTGCAGCCGGAGAACGTCCTCAGTCGACATCCTGCCGCAGTCGGGTGGGCGTCCTGGGCCCGCCCCGGGCTTTTCGAGAGGGGAACGCTGTGGGCGGGCTCTCCGTCTTTGTGAGCGGCAAGCGCTCTGACCCTCTCTGGAGCTCGAGCGTGAGCGACCCACGGCGGCCTCGAGCGATGCCTCCGCACGCGGGCACGTCGCGCGGGCCGCGCGCCGTCTGGACAAGACAGAAGCCGCGCCCAGCGTCGGGCGGCCAGGCTTTGGAGGCAGGGCCGCAGGTCGAGTAGGGGATCGACTGCAGAATCGATGTACCCCTAAAACTGACTTGTCCGCCGAATCTGCGGAAAATGCATCGAATCGAATGCCCTGCAGATCAATCGAGCATTCTACGTATGTTGTTCGTTCTCACAGGCTCGACAAGAAAATCGATTTCGGGGTTTGCAGTCGCTCCCCTACTCGAGCAGAGCGACGACGAGAGCCGTCCGAAGTTCGCGCTTGCGCATCCAGAGCTCGCCGCTTTGTTGTGCTTCCTGCCTCGCCGAGCAGCGCGGGCCCCCGCCGATGTAAGTCCCAAGAGCGTTCTGGCGCGATTCAGGATCGCCAGGGCGCAACAATCATCAGTCCCGGCAGTCGCCGCGGGACTGGGGTGACCGTCGGATCGAAGATTTCGTTGCCGATTTTGTTTGCGAGTAACCGATTTGATCGATGCATTGATGTAATTTTGAGGAGGTGGTTTCTTTTGAAGACTTGGCTGCTGTTGTCGTTGTTTGCTTCTGTACTATCGGTTCCACAAAGAGTGTGCCAGGAGTGATCAACAATTGGGTGTTGCTAGAAGTGCCCCTGGCCTGAAAAGATGGGGGCACCTTAGGCTAGGAACAACTTTTTGCAACCCCCGGGAGACGAAACCAGGACGAGGGTAATATCGGCTGGGGGCAAATCTATAATCTCCGAGATCCAGCAGTTTTGGGGGATGTCTCTGGCGCCGCGGTGAGCCTCGGGTGTTGCTAGAAGTGCCCCTGGCCCAAGGACGCCCCCACGTGCCCCGAGGGTTTCCATGGAAGCCCCCACGGCCTCCAGAGCATCCCTCACGAGGCCCAGGGGGCCCCATGGGGCTGCAAAATGGAGCGAAAAGCTGGAAACACCTTGGGCCAGGGACACCTTTAGCAATTCACGAGACAATGACGCCGATTCGCGGCGTTACAATTTCAGGAACGGTATTCTTGAGCGGTTCAGGAATTCCAAACGGTTGTCCTCAAACAGGGCATTTCTTTCAGCGAGAATGGACCCTTGTAGGAACCTGTGAAGAGGGAGCTTGGACGGAGGGTTTCTTGCAACAACGTTGTTGGCTGTTGGGTTTACACTGCTCCTCCTCCCTCGTAGACCAGATGTTGGCTGTTCTCGGCTGCTGCTTTTGGCGACTGGTCAGGGCCCCTCTTCCCCAGTCTTCTTGCGCGACTGGGGAAAAAGCTGATCTACTAAGCACCGCCCCAGACCCAGACCCCACCTTCCTTGCCTTTCGGCCAACTGCCGAAACCCAGAGCACCAACTAGGAACACATGTGGTGGTTGTCAGTTTCATGGTGCTTTTGCACTCGGTCTGTGTTTTCGCTAAGGAGGTATTCGCCGTCTCCAAGAGGTATTCCGTGACATACGCATATTGCAGTTGCAATTCCTATTCGTGCCGGAGACTTGTTAGATTGACTAGGAGATATTTGGATCCAATCAGGCATACAGCCTTTCCTTGGCTGACTGTAGGGCTGGAGCAGATGTGTTTTCGCTTAGGAAGCGACGAGGTTCTGCCCCCAGGGCCTCAGAGGACCTCCGACCTGTTCCTGGTCGCTCTCGCCCAGCGCGGTCAGCAGACTCTAAGACGGAAAGGTTGCATAGCACGAGAGTGACTACGAGCTAGTGTGTTCGTGGCCGAAGCGAGAAACGTCAGGACAGCGTGTGATTGCCGTATTGCGTTTTCTTGTAAGCACAACGTGCCCAGTGTTTATCCACAGCGTGCTGCAAGTTCCGCCGCCGTGCCAGCGCAGCACTTTGTGTGTGGCGACGCTTCGAGCACCGAGCACCGAAGACCGTAGCATGTGGAACCTATCGCTTCTATTCCTTGAGGGGTTGTGGGGTTCTCGTGGGGGTGCTGCTTTGTTGGCTGTTGTGGCCCTCTTCGGGTTGTCCTGGACTCCTGTGTGGCTGGCCCTCTTTGGGCGCTCTTGGGCAGTCTTCATGCTGGCTTGGGCCGTCTTCGGTCCGGCCGTCTGGGGGGACGTTTGGGATTGTTTGGGGGGCCTCTGAAGACCGTCCTGAGCCTTTGGGGGCCGTCTTGGGGCCCCCTTGGGACCTTCGTTGTCGTCGCTCCTGCCCGCCGCCCTCCGCCCCCTCTTCCTCCTCCTCATCCTCCTCCTCCTCCTCCTTCACCTTCTCCTCCTCCTTCACCTTCTCCTCCTCCTTCACCTTCTCCTCCTCCTCTCCTCCTCCTCCTCCTCCTCCTCCTCCTCCTCCTCCTCCTCCCTCTCCCTCTCCCTCCTCCTCTCCTCCTCCCATCTCTCCCTCCTCCTCCTCCTCTCTCCTCTCTCTCCTCCTCTAATCCTTCTCCTCCTAATCCTCCTCCTCCTCCTCCTCCTCCCTCTTCTTCTCCTCCTCCTCCTCCTCCTCCTCCTCCTCCTCCTCCTCCTCCTTCCCTCCTTCCACTCCCATCTTGTTCCGTTCCATAGCAGCTTGGAACGCGCCCGCCCCAAGTTGTTTCGGTGCGCCCTTTTTGACACGCAACGCATACCGTGCTTAAATTGTCCGTGTCGATGAGTTGGCTCAGCGTGTTGGCCGAAGTTTTTTGTTGCGAACGTAACGCGCCGTACTTTCGGTTTCAGCCCTCCGTATCAACGCGGTACGTGTTGCGTGTTGCGTATCGGGACAGCTACGCGCCCGCTTGTTGATGAAGCCGTGTGCAGGAAGAGGGAGAAGGCGTGGGGCAGCACACGTCAGCAGGCATCATTCCGAGGGGGGAATTTACACATGACCACCGCCTGCAGGATCGATTTCCGGGGCGGTGGACATGGATATATTCGGGCCTTTGGGGGCCACAATAAGTCCACATTCACCGCCCGTTAGGGCACCAAGACGTCGGTTCCCAGGCGGTGGATATGGATAAATCCCCGCCTCGCAGAGAAGGCGTGAGGCAGCACTCCCAGGAGGGCGCCGCGCTCGCCGCTTGGACCCCCCCCCTCCCCCGCCTCGCCCTCCCCCCGCCTCCCGCCCCTCCCCCCCCCCCCGCCGGTCGGGGCGGCGAAGACCCCTGCGCGCGGGGGGGGAGGAGGAGGAGGGGGAGGGGGAGGTGGGGGGGGAGTGGGAGGGGGTCCCCCTCCCGCCTGCCCGCTCGCCCACCCTGCGTTTTCCAACCTTCATTCTCGTCCACCTCCGCATCGCCGCCCTTCTGACGCAGTAAATTTCTCGCCAGAAGCGGGATCCGCCTAGCAGGATCGAGCAGCACGGGAGCCTCATTTCCAACGCCACGCTGGCAACATCTGAATCACCGTCGGCAGGATCGGACGTTGGGAGGAGGACACGCTAGGTGCGCTCTCGTCATACCTGACTTTCTACCGCTTCCTCCCATCCCTTACCATGGCGTAGATCTCTGCTCTGTTCGCACAGTCGGATGTCGCACCGTGGCATAGCATTACATGACATAGCATGGCGTTGAATATCAGCGCGTAGCATGACATAGCATGGCGTGGCGACGCCCAAAATGTGTAATCAATTCCGATGGTTTTTTCGTGGGGGCCACTTTCCAGATTTTGGAGCGCATTTGGAAGGACCGAAAACCATGCCGTGGCATGGCGCTGGAAATAATGACGCCAGCGCTGCAGCGGAAGCACGATTCAGAACGAGCGAAAGCGCGGAAATGATGCCAGCGCTGCAGTTGGAGTACGATTCGGCACGATTCGGAACGAGCGGTGGCCCGAAAATGAAGCCAGCGCCCCAGCGAGAGAAGCATTTGAAAGACACCCAAGCGAAAATTCGTTGCCTGGGAATCCTGTGTTTAAAAACCAGTTCGCGGAGGGGGGCCGGCCATTTCCCAGACGTCGCCAGTGAGAGAGGAGAGTAGTATTCATATTGTGCACTTGTGGAGGAGGAGAAGGAGGAGGAGGAGGAGGTGGATGAGGAGTAGGAGGGGTCGTCGACGTCGGCAGGCGTGCGACGGCTGGTCCTTCGAGGACAAGATGGCGCGCCTCGGTTCCCTGATCGGCCGCGACCGCAGCTTGCACCAGGCAGGCGGCGGGCAGGGTGGGAAGGGGGGGGGGCGGGGCGTCGGCGACGGCACGGGCGGGCAGGGCGTCGGGGGAGGCAGGGCAGGTACTCCTCCCCGCTCGCTCCCCATGCCGTCGCCGTCCCTGCTTCTTTCTCCTCCTCCTCATACTCCTCCTTCTCATCCCGCCTCGATCATCATCCACCTCCACCGTGCTCTTCTGTCGTCCTCCCTCCTGCGAGGGGGAGGGGGTCTGAAGAAAACGTGACGCGACGCGGGGCAGGACGATGAGGATGGGGAATGGGGAAACTCGGCGAGGAGAGGGGGATCGAAGAAGAGTGGATTGAGACAAATAACGTCGAGTAGAAATGGGTGGACTAAGACAAATAACGTCGAGTGGAAGCCGGGCGACCACGGCGAAGTGGGCGCACTGAGGCTACATGAATAAGAACGAGGCGCAGTGAAAAGGAGCGAGGAGGAACACGAATCGTTGGTGGGACATGGTGGAGGATGAAGAGGACGGGGAAACGGAGGGGTAGGGGAAATGAGGAGGAAGGGGATGGGGTGCGGAATGGTAGGTGAAGGATGAGGAACGCGACTAGGACATGCCGCGTGGACGCCACATGCAAGCGCATTGCTCTGCTCATTTCTATTTCTCCGCCTCCTCGTGGTCCCGCGCGCGCCGCGAGGGGGGGGATAATGAGGGGTGAAGAGGAGGAGGGGGGGGGAGCAAGAGCTTGGTGGGGAAGCAGCACCACGTTGGAGGAGGAGGAGGAGGAGGAGGAGGAGGAAGATGAGAAGGAGGAGGAGGAGGACGGCGACGAGGGCCCGAACATATTAAAATATAGCCACAGCGCTTCGCGGCACCATGTCTGGACAGGCTGGGATTTTCACGCAGCAGCCGAAGTCATTGAATCGCTTCGCTCATTCCGGCGGCCCATATTGTTTCATTTGATCCAAATGTTTGTTTGTTCGTGGAGAACGAGAAGGAGGAGGAGGAGGAGGACGAGGAGGAGGAAGAGGGGGGGATGACGTTGAGGAGGAGGCCTCTCGATGGTTTCTTGTGGCGTTTTGGGCCAAGCTGGTCGTGGGCAAGACGCCTCGTTGGGAGGCTGGTTGTGGTCTCTTGGGAGGCCTGTCGGTGGCCTCGTTATTTTTTTGTTACGGATCTCCTGGGGCCTCTTGGGGGCCTCTTGGGGCCTCCTGGGGGCCTCTCGGGGCCGAGAGCTCGACATGTCCGTTCGGGTCCCCATCGAGGCTCGCTCTTGGAGCCGTCTGCGGGGCCTCTTTGGCCGTCTGGGAGGCCTCTCGGGTTGTCTTGGGGCCTTTTGGGGCCGTTATGGGGGCATTTTGGAGGCATCTTCGGCCATGTTGAGGCAATCTTGGAGGCCTCTTGGGCCTTCTTGGCGCCCTCTTGGGCCGTCTAGGGGCGACATTGTGGGCCTTTCGGCCAGTCTTGGAGCGTCGAGAGGCTGAAAATACGAGAACGAACAAATCATCGAACAATGCAATGAACGTCGATGGCTTCTACTTATCCGTAAGGGCTTCGCCCCCTGCCGCCGCTTCCTCTCTCGGAGAATGGGCCATGGAAGAGCTAAGTCATGAGGCCTTGGCGCTGTCGTGAAGCAGTATCGAAACTTCATGCGAAGCCGATTCGCAATCAGCAAAACCAACTGATCACAAGAGGGGTTACCACACCTGGCGATTGGTAAGACGTGTATGGTTTACGGGCTTGGTTACCACACCTTGCGATTAAAGGGCCGAGGGAGTTCTCGCAGTTTGGGTTACCACGCCTTGCGATGGATGTGCGTGAAGGGTGGCACCGAATTTCAGAAATGTGCCAAATCCATTGTGTTTTTGGACCCTGACCTCGCGGATCTGCGTAAGGGGTTGCGCCGAATTTCAGAAATGTTGCAAATCCCATATGTTTTTGGACCCTGACCCCGCGGATCTGCGTGAGGGGTGGCACCGAATTTCAGAAATGTGGCAAATCCCTGTGTTTTTGGACCCTGACCCCGCGGATCTGCGTGAGGGGTGGCACCGAATTTCAGAAATGTGGCAAATCCTTTGTGTTTTTGGACCCTGACCCCGCGGATCTGCGTGAGGGGTGGCACCGAATTTCAGAAATGTAGCAAATCCCAATTGTTTTTGGACCCTGACCCCGCCGATCTGCGTGAGGGGTGGCATTGAATTTCAGAAATGTTGCAAATCCCATGTGTTTTTGGACCCTGACCCCGCGGATCTGCGTGAGGGGTGGCACCGAATTTCAGAACTGTGGCAAATCCCCTTTGTTTTTGGACCCTGACCCCGCGGATCTGCGTGAGGGGTGGCACCGAATTTCAGAAATGTGGCAAATCCTTTGTGTTTTTGGACCCTGACCCCGCGGATCTGCGTGAGGGGTGGCACCGAATTTCAGAAATGTGGCAAATCCCATGTGTTTTTGGACCCTGACCCCGCCGATCTGCGTGAGGGGTGTCGATTTCGAGCCCCCCCAGCAATTCAGACAACGCGCCCAGGGGGTGCTAAAAAATCCCGTTTGGGCCTCCCCCCCCCTCGCGCGGTCAATCATTTAGTTACAGTAACCAGCAAGAAGCAGAACTGTAACACTGGAAACTACAAGCTACAACTGGTACTGGAAACTGCGAACCCGCGCCATCTTGTGGCGTCTGGGAGCCCTCTGAGATTATCTTTGCGACCGCTTCGGGGCATCTTGGCCCTCCTTGAGGCCTTCTGGGAGGCCTTTAAGGCGGCGCCCAGGAGCACACCATCTCTGAGGCGGATTTGCCGCGACCTTGCTGTTTTTTTTTTCGGCCTGGGACCCCCAGGGGCTGAACAAGTCACCGGAGTTTTAGCACGCCTCTGGCCCGCTGGGCCGGCGAATTTGGGCCCTCGTGGACCGACGAGGGGCAGATGGGAAACCTCGGCTTCTTGGGTTTTTTTGTAGGCTTCTCGGGGGTTTTCTGGGGCATCAGGGGTGCTTCTTGGGGGCCTGTTGGCGGTCTTCGGGGTCCTCTTGGAACGGATGCCTCGAAATGTAAACTCAAGTTCCCTGTGTATTCTCTTGGGCCTTCAGGGGGCCCTGTTGGGCCGTCTTGGGCGCCTGTTGGGCCGTACTGGGGCCCTCTTGGGACGTCTTGAGGCGATCTTGGGTGCCTCTTTGGCCGCTCTGGACGGGGTGGCCATATTTTAGACATGCACGCTTCCAAATCACAGTGTCAGCGAATCCACCGATCCCAAACTCGCACACATCCCCCGCGCTCAGGAGGAGGAGGAGGAGGAGGAGGAGGAGTGGCCGTGCGCACCCAAGGGGTGGTGCGTTAGGGGCGGCCTTCGGAGAGGCCGCCCCCCTCGTGCCAGCCCCTGGCCCAGAGGTCCGACGACGGTGTTTTTTGTTTGGGGGGCGGCGATAGATTTCAAGCAGTGGCGAAGCGTCCTGGCTCGCCTACAGGCCCACCAAATCATGTTCAAAGGAGCTTTTCGTGGTTTGCACAACATGTTCTTAGAACATTTCTGGCTGAGTCGTGTCGTCATTATCTATTTATATATATACACATACATACGAAACACATCGTGATTAAGGTGTGATAGCATGGCTCTTGTTCTTAGAACATGTTCGGGTTCTACGAACATATCGTGGTAGGCTTATAGAATTGCCAGGACGGTCGGTCCGTGCTCACATATTGAGGGCGATAGATTCCCGGATAGTTCTTGAAAGAGCTGAGAGGGTTTCAGATTAAGAAGCCGGAGTCGCAGTGTAGCCCCGGTGCTCGATCCGGCCTCCATCGAAAACGTCCTTCGTAAGCTCCCTCCAGGAGTTTCCACAGTTTTTCGACAGTCCTTTCCGTGCCCTCTGGCTGGCCTGCTATCCGGGTTTTGGACCTCACAAGTAGGGGGGCAGCGAGGGCTGCAGAACAGGTCCCTGGGGCTCGGTAAGGGGCCCTTGGGGCCACAGCCGAGGAAAAGTACGTTGGGACTGAATAAATTACAGCTAACCCGCATAGTAAGGATGAGCGGTTTTCTAAGGCAACCATTGCATCTTTCTCTTGCGGCCCATCCTTGGCCGCCTTCGCTGGCCGCGCCCCGATCGCAAAGTGTCGACACGGCTTTCCGAGGCCTTTGCGTCCTTATCGCGCCTTATCGTACTCCGAGGTGGGAATTTCTACATGACCACCGCCTGGAGGGTCCGTTTTTCGGAGCCTCGGCAGGCGGTGGATATGGACATATTCGGGTCTCCGGGGGCCGAAATATATCCATATCCACCGCCCGCTAGGGCACCAGGACGTCGGTTCCCAGGCGGTGGATGTGGATAAATCCCCGCCTCGCACATGCGGGCTGACTGTGCCGTCGGATATCTGGGCGTGCGCGCTGCCAGGAGCAGGAGCAGCAAGCACGAGGAGGCCCCCCGCTCGCACTCGGCTGCCCCATCGCCAGGACGAGAGGCAGCCCGCGCGCCTCGGCGGTCCGCCCGTCATTTGCACCACGCCCGAGCCGGATGATGAGGAGGACGAGCGTCCCGCGCGCCGTCCCGAGTGGGGGAGGATCTCCTCGAGCTCCTCCTCCTCCGCCTCCTCCTCCTCCTCTCCCTCTTCCTCATCACCATCATCATCACCATCAGTATCACCATCATCATCAGCAGCATCATCATCACCATTAAGATCAGCAGCATCATCACCATCATCAGCATCATCATCAGCATCATCATCATGGTCATCACCGTCATCATCACCATGATCATCCTCAGCATCATCCTCCTCCTCGTCCCCATCCTCATCCTCATCCTCATCCTCACCCTCCTTCTCGCCCCTCTCTCCTCCTCTCTCATGTTCCGCATCCCTCCCCGCCCTCATTCGCTCAGGTTGTCGCACCGCGACATTTGGGTGCTAACTGATGTCGTAGCCCCATCATCCTCCTCTTGCATGCTCCTCCCTTCCCGCTTCTTCTTCTCCTACTCCGCCCTCATCCCTGTTTGCCTGCTTGCGAATCTCTGAATTTGTCGTTCGATTTGAATATTTAGGCTCGCGCCACATCCGCCGACCCTGTGTTTTCTTCGGCGGTCGTCGTTTGGCGTGGTGGAGGCGGTCACGGCGGTCACGAGGGCTGCATTGGAACGTCTGGAAGGCTGCATGGGGGCCTGTGTCGCCGCCGTGTTGTGGTTGTTGCGTTTTGCTTCTGAGGTTTTTTGGGGGCATCGTGAGGGCTTCTCGGGTGCTGCTTGGGGCCTCCAGGAACACTCTTTCAGCCGAGGGCTCGACAAGTGCCCGTTCGGGTGAGCGTTTGCCAAATTTATTCTCCAAAGGCGCTGGACTCTCCAAAGGCGCTACACCAACTGAAGTCCGCGGAAGGAGGACTTCGATGGAGAACCAGAGGGACGGCGACGATAAAGAGAAACATAATGCGGAAAGGAAGAGGGAGAGGAAGAGAATGAGGAGGAGGAGGAGGAGGAGGCTTTGTGCGAGCTCCCACGCCGTGGAATATCGAATGGCCTCGGCCCATCCCGCCATCGTGTTTGGGTTGCGGCTCAGGGCCTTTAAGGCAGCCGTTCCAGTCTCTCTCTCTCTCTCTCTCTCATTCTTTCTCGCTGACCTATTCAGGACCGTCGTATGGAGTGTGCCACGGGTTTCTTCAAGCGTTTGGGGGGTCTCTTGAGGGCACTCTCGGTGCATCATGGGGCGGATAGTGTTTGTTTTTCGCTTTGGTTCCCTCTGCTGGGTTCTTCTTTGAGCTGGTTTGCGTCTCTCTTGGGCCGTCCTGGGCGCCCCTCGGGTTGTTTGGGGCTCTCTTGGGTATCCTCGGGGCGGTCTTGGGCGCCTTTGGGCAAGCTTGAACACCGCGAGGGCCGCAGATTCGTATACGCTGCTGGTACACTCTTTCTGAGAGGGAAGCCTTGTTGATATATGTTAAAGGCCTCGTGCTGTGGGAGGTTTGAGGTCATTGGTCACGTGACGACGACGACGATGATCAGTCATGATGATAACGGAGGGTAAAGACCCGCATGAAGTTGATGGTGGTGGTGATCGCGATGATGAGTAAGACGATGATCTCGATGGTGCTACCTGGTGTGTTTCGAGGGCCCTATCCTCCACCTCTTCAGAAACTTCCTTCCTTACCCTCTTCATCCTCCTCCCTCCTCATCCTCAGTAACGGCGGCAGCGGCGTCCGCCGAGCAAGCAGCTGCGGTGGAGGCCGCACCTCCGCCCGGCGCGCCTCCACCCACTGCTGCGGGCCCGCCCGTCGCGCGCGGGCCAGCGCGAGGAGCGGCAGCAGGAGGCAATTCGAGGCGCAGCAGCGCAGGAGCATTGGAAAACGCCGCAGTCCCTGATGCCGAGACAGAGTAGGGCGAATAGCACGGGCGGCGGCTTCCCCAGCTTCGAGCTGGATCCGTATTGGGATTCTGCTAGAGTTGGATCGAGTTGGTAGTATTTGATCAGAGATGCATCCAGCCCGATCCAGCCGTCGGGTCGACCTCTAGCGAGTTTGCTTTAGGGTTGGATTTAAAGCCAGATCGGGAGTTCGAAGTGTTCTGTTAGACTCGGATCCAACCATCGCAGGAGAGCCCGATCGAATCGCAAAATGATAGTTTGAGAACGTACTTTTCGAGCTGGGCCGAGAGCCCGAGTAAGATTCTACCAGAGCTGGATCGACCCCTAGGAAGATTATTTGAAACATTGGACCCAGCTCTACAATACTGATAAACTTATGGTAGAACTAGATCCAGCCCCAGACATATTGTACTGAATGTGGATCGAACTCCAATTTCGTGTCGGGTTCTATCAGAGATGGAACGAGCCCTAGTCCCGTTCTATCAGAGCGATAGGTGCGCCGCCGCTGACGTCGCCGTCGTCATATAGTCATCGTCGTTGTCGTCGTCCTCGTCGTTGTCGTCGTCCTCGTCGTTGTCGTCCTCGTCGTCTTAGTTCTGGTCGTCGTCCGTCGTCGTCGTCGTCGTCGTCGTCGTCGTCTTCGTCATTCGCGTCGCTTGCTGGCGGCGACGTCGTCGTCGTCGTCGTTGCCTGGGGGCTTGGGGGGATGGACATTTGTGGACCCTTCGAGCAAGTTTCCCAGAGTGGGCGGGTGTGGATTTTTTTCCCGGGGAAGGGGGGCAGAGGGGCTTCTGGCATTCCCCGCATCAGTGTCCAGGGGGACGGGGGGGTTGGAGGGGAACGGGGCCCCGGAGGTTTCTACACCCTTTTCTTCGGGTTTCCGTTCGGGGGAAAGGAGGCAGGGGCCTGGTTTCCGCCGCCCCTTCTGTCTTCAAACGAGCGACGGTGGATTGCGTCCCCTCGGAGGGGCTCGGTTTTCGCCGCCCCTTTTTTAATGAATTTGTCGTCGAACGAGCGGCGGTGGATTGGGTCCCCTGCGATACTTCGACGGCGCGCTTGGCGCGGCCGATCCGATCCGATTCTGACATTATGATGTTCCAACCTAATTGAGCCTTGATCGCCAGAAATAATCTCGAGCACCAGAAAAGTACCGAAACTGGCGGGGGGGGTCACTCGCCTGACTCTGTTTCGAGACTCTTTCAATACCTTTCTTGGTGCTCGAACATATTTCTGGGATGTGGTCCTCAAATGCGATGGGAGCATGATATTTCTGAGGTTGGTTCATACTCCGTTAGGCGCTCGGATTTGCGCAAGGCCGCGAGTGCACATTTCGTGGCTGGCCGTGCTCTCGGACTCTGCAGCGGCCACCGGACTCTCGTCATTGGCGTTTTCGCCGCCCTGGCAGCAAGTGGTGTTGATGGGCGTCTGGTGAGGGAGGGTTTCTCTGAAGGGCTTAAGCGACCCGTCCTCCTCTCTCCTCCTCTTCATCTTCCTCCTCCTCCTCCTCATCATCCTCCTCCTCCTCCTCCTCCATCTCCTTCCCCTCCTCCTCCTCCTCCTCCTCCACCTCCTCCTCCTCCTCCTTCTCCCTCCTCCTCCATCTCCGCCTCCCTCCTCCTCCTCCTCCTCCTCCTCCTCCTCCTCCTGCTTCGTCTCCTCCTCCCCCTTCCCCTCCTCAGACTCCTCCTCCTCCTCCTCCTCGTGAGGGAGGGATTGCGGCAGGAAGGCGTGCAGCTGACACTATGATTGAGGACAGCCATATTTTTGGAGGAGTAGCCTTGTATTCGTGGTGTTTGAGCTCTCCATCTTGGGTTATGCGTCATCTTCTGCGTTTCCATGTGGCCTGGGGCCATGCGCAACGGGGCTCACGTGTGTGACCCACGTTCTTGAGGCCACGTTTCGACTGCAGCGCAGCATCAGTCATGAATGATGGGGGTAAGGCGACCCTGACCCTGTTACCCATCATCATCCTGCCCCTGATCTTCCCCGATCTCCAAACGCCTCCTTCCCTATTGCCCGATTGCACGTCTTGTTTGGTCTTATGTTGTCTTCCCTCCTCCACATCTTCCATCCCGCTCCTCCTTCCTCCCTCCGTCTCCTCCTCCTCCTCCTCCTCCTCCGGCTCCTCCTCCTCCTCCTCCTCCTCATCATCATCCTCCTCCTCCTCCTCCCCCCTCATCCCATGCCTTCTCTCTTGACAGGGGCGGTGCCGATTGCGTTCGAGGTGGCGAACCTTCATGGTGTGGTGGACCCCTCGGCTCTCGTCTCCTTTGCGCGTGAGTGTAAGCGAAGGTCCGTTTCCAGGAGTTGTGCCACTCAGATGCCGAGGCCTAGCCGTTCTGAAACAGCCGTTGTGGCGAGCGAGGCCGGACCATTAGTTAGTCCCACATCCTCATAGTCTGCTCAAAGGGGCGAAAAGTATTTTCAGTGACACATTCCAGGATTTCCGGGCTTTCTTGCCCCAGGCGGTCCAGAGACGAATGACCAGTGGCGAGTGGCTGAGGAAGTACACTGAGCCAGTCGCAGCATCATGCTGTTGCTCACATCCTATCTTCCCTGCCTCGTCGTCCGAGGACGAGGGAGGAACAGGGCGGAGGAAGAGCACAAGGGAGGGGGAGGGGAAGGAGGAGGAGGAGGACGACGAGGAGGAGGAGGAGGCCCCCCCCACTCCAGGACGTGGGGTACCAGTTCGGCGACTTCGCCCCTCCCTCGCCGACGTCGTCGGCGGCCTCATCCACGGCGACGCCCAGCGATTGCCTACAGGCCCTCGGGGTAGTATCCCCGCTCTGGGGAGGAGGCAGGAAGGGAGGGGGCTTCCTTGCATACAGAGTGGAGGACGGATGGGGGGTGCAACGAATAGGAGGAGGAAGTAAAGGATAATGAGGTGGAAGACAACGAGTAAGGAGGAGGAGGAGGAGGCCAAGGAAAGAGAGGAGGGTGAGGACAATGATGAAGGAGGATGACGAGGAGGACGACGATGATGGGTCATCAAGAGGATGAGGGCAGTGACGAGCGGGGGCGATGAGTAGGTGTTCCTGGCTGGACGATGTGGAACATCCGAGTGCGCCGCTTTCTGCAGTGGGAGGGGGTATCTCTGGCATGAGGGGTCCCTCTGCCTCATACTGTCTCTTCCCCCTCCTCTCCTGTCCCTCCTCCCCCGCTTTTGCCCGCCACCCGGCTGCTCGTACCCGCGCCATCCTCGCGAACAAAAATTTGGCTCGGCAGGGACACCGCAGTCTGTCGCGCCTTTCCGCGGGGCATGGCCTGAGAGGCCTCCTCAGCATATGCAGGCTCTGTCAGACCAAGGCGCGCGCCGTGCGAGTTCCCGCTCCTACTACGATCACGACCGAGTTCGGGAAAGGGCACGACGCCGAGAGATCGTGCCGACCACAGAGGACAAAATGGCCCCTCCCAAGGCGCAATCGTGCTGCTGGATGAAGTCCGCGTGCGGGTTCAGAGGCACATGAAACCCTGGTGCTGCCTCTGTGTGGGCCGTCCTCCTCCCCTTCCTCCTCCTCTTCCCCTTCCTCCTCCTCCTCCTCCTCCTCCTCCTCCTCCTCCTCCTCCTCCTCCTCCTCCTCCTCCCCCTCCCCCCGTCCACTGGGGTCAAGAGGCTACCTTGCAGTGCTCAGGGAAGGGGAGGAGCTCGACAACCGGCCCTGCAAGTTTGTCGTGAAGGGCACGTTCATCCAGGCGCGTGACATCCTTCCCTCGGCAGTGCGTCCTCTCTCCTCGCTCCCTGTGCCTCTCCTCTCCCAGCCCGCCTTCCCTCTCACACCTTCACATCACTCCGCCCCGGTCGTCAGAACCTCGTCCTTGCGCGTGCTACCCCGCTGTCCGAGCCGTCCGCCAGCACCTCTTCTTGCCAACACTTCTCGTCCGACTCTCTCGTCTCTCATCGGCCGCTTCCCTCTTCATGGACGAGACCCGTGCTTCCGATGCGAATTTCGACTCCGAGAGGAAGATGCGTGATTCTTACGGGCGGCAGTGGTCGTCCCCAGCTCCTAGTTGCTGCGCTCCCGTGCGTTTCGTCCCCCTCGCCTCTCCCCGCTTTTCCCCGCTCCTCCCCGCTCCTCCTCCTCATCCTCCTCCTCCTCGTCCTCCTCCTCCTCCTCTTCCTCCTTATCCTCCTTATCCTCCTCCACCACCTCCTCCCCACTCCTCCTCCTCCCTTCTCCTCCTCCTCCTCCTCCTCCTCCTCCTCCTCCTCCTCCTCCTCGTCCTCCTCGTGCGCGCTGTGTTTCACCGCTGCAAGCCTCACGCCCTTCGGCCACTTGTGTATTGGCAGCACCTGGGCGCTCGTCGCTGGCCTCGCGGGGAGGTGCGGGGGCTCCTGCCTTCGCCCACCCTGCTCGCCCCCCCCCCCGCTCCTCGCCTTGGGCTCTGCTCCCCGCCCTCGCTTCCCACCCCGACGTCGCGTCGGACCCCACGAGGCGATTTCGAGGGCTCCGTCGTCGTCCTCGTTGTCCTCCTCGTCCTCGCCCTCGTCCTTGCTCTCATCGTCTTCATGTTCCGTTTCTTCCCTTTCATCGTCGTCGCCGTCGTCGTTGTCGTCGTCGTCGTCGTCGCCGCGGCCATCGCCGCCGCCGCCGCCGCCGTCTCTGTCGCCGTCGCCGTCGTCGTCGTCGTTGTCGTCGTCGTCGTCGTCTCCTCCTCCTCCTCCTCCTCCTCCTCCTTCCTGCAGCGTGGCTCCCCGTCAGGTCTGCACCCCTCCAGGGGATCAGCTTCTCACTTATGTCCGCGGCCTAGTAAGGGCACCCGGAGACATCCCCAGCGAGGAGGCCCACGATGCCTCCCCAGGTTGGTCTCGGGCGGGACATTACAAAACAGGGTGGACCTTCCCATGCTTCTGACGATTGGTGGTGGTGGTGGTGGTGGTGGTGGTGGTGTCGCTCCCGGCGTCGGATGTCTGTGTCCCCCCCCTTCGAATACCTGTCCCCAGACCTGTTACGGGGCGCGTTCTAGCCAGATTGCAGATTGTCGAGGCGGATCCAGCCATGGCAACGAGAGCGCCCCAGGAAGCACAACATGTTCAGACAACTCCATCCTTGACCGTCGAGCCTCTAGCTCGCGGTGCCGATTTTCTCTGCACTGGCCTCGCGCACCGGGCAAGGCCGTCCCCGATGCCCCGCAGCCGCAGACGTTGCGGCGCTCGCGGACGGGCCCGGCGCAGCTGCAGCGCGCGCAGACGGACTCCGTGTTGACGATGCAGGCCCTGCAGGCGGACCAGACCCGCACTTTGCAGCGCCACAGGCAAGACGACGGAAGTGTTTTCTCGGTGGCGAGCGAAGGGGGGAAGCGAGAAGGGGCGGGCCTTCTCGGAACGCTCGGAAGTCCCCTGGCCTTCTGGACAGTCTTCTGGGCCTTGCCCGAAGACGCTGAAGACTTCTCAGAAGGCCGCAGGGAGCCTCTGAGAAGCCCCGCCACCTTCTGAGAGAAGGCCTTCGCCTGCTCACTTCCCCCCTCGCCCGCCGCCGACCTCTGTCCCATGTCTCAGCACAGAGGAAGAGCGCCGTTTTCGGGGGGGGGGGGGTCTTCGAGGTTTGTGCGGGTTGACCCAACAGGGGGTCCAGCGACAAGGGGGTGGTGCAATACACTTGGTGCAATGGCTTACACCCACGGCGCAGAATAAGAAAGTTGATTTTTCAGTTTAGCCCCTGCCAATTTCTTATGCCGCGGCCATGTTCAGCGCGCCAGGGGCTGCCACTTTCTTACAGGCCAGCTTTCTTAAATCGTAGGCGGCGGCGCCTGGCGCCGCCGCCTACGATTTAAGAAAGATGGCCAAGCTGCGGCGGCGACCTCTGCCTTCAGTCGTGTGTTTTGCTTATTTGCGATTGCGATTGGCTGCGCCAGGGCGCTCCTGAGGACGCCAGGCGGCGGCGCCGACTTCTGCCTTGCGTCGCGTTCCTTGGCTATTTTGGGATTGCGATTGCGATTGGCCGCGCCAACCCGCGCCCGAGGACGCCAGGCGGCGGCGCCGACCTCTGCCTTTTGTCACATGTTTTGCTTATTTTCGGTTGCGATTGGCCGCGCCAACCCGCGCCCGAGGACGCCAGGCGGCGGCGCCGACCTCTGCGCCTTTTGTCGCATGTTCTGCTTATTTGCGATTGCGATTGGCTGCGCCAGGGCGCGCCCGAGGGCGCGCAATCGCAAATAAGCAAAACACGCGATAAATGCAGAGGTTGGCGCCGCCGCCTGGCGTCCTCGGGCGCGCCCTGGCGCGGCCAATCGCAAGCGCAAATAAGCAAAACACTACGCCTGGCAGAGGTCGGCGCCACCGCCTTGCTTCTGGGGCGTCATGGCACATGACCAAAAATACAACGGACGTGCCGCGGCATTGAGAGCGCCGCTTGTAAGAAACTGCCCCGGAATTTAGCCCCTACTTTCCTATTTTTTCGCTTCCCGATTCAGCCTCAAAATTTCTTATCTCATGGTTTTCTTAATATTGACCGGGGGTTGTAGTGGGGTTGCAATACATTTGGGTTTGCAATGCATTTCGGGGCTCAACTGTACAATCCTCTGGCGCAATACATTTGCAATACAATTTCCCCAAATCTTTTGCACCACCCCCTTTCAGCTGGACCACCCCCTTTTGGGTCACCCGGCATTGTGGCCGCTTTCGGGGCCGTCACAACACAAACTCGGGAGGAGAGGCTGGTCCTTGAGGAAGCCTCTCGGGGCCCAAAGGACCGCTTACACCGGGAGGCGTCTCCCAGGCCGGGGGCAGACAGGAGTTGTATGCCTCGGTTGCTGTTTGTGGGCCTCCCGGATGGCGGGCCAGGTGGTCGTTTTCTTACTCATTGTTTTGCCGATCGGCGTGGGCTCTCGCACCCCCGCCCTTCCACCCCCCCCCCTTCTGGAATAGATCTTGGCTGTTTTTGGCACCTGTTTCGAGCAGGTGGAGTCTCCCTTCATAGGACCCACTGCTGCAAACGGCCAGACCCTCCCCACTCCCCCCTCTCCGCCCAATGTCGAACCGCCGAATGAAAAAACACTCACCAGTGTGAGGTTCGGCCTCGGAGGGCCACACCTTGGCCCCTGCATCAATGAATTGAGTGCCCGCGGCAACACCGGTCGCGTGGATGGATTCCAGAGGTTCAGGGGGCCACATCGTGAATAATAATAATAAGTCACGATGTCGCAGGTTTCGAGCAGGGGGAAGGGGGAAGAGGAGGAGGAGGAGGAGGAAGAGGAGGAAGACCGTAGCCATTTTGGCTCAAGGCTCAAGGTGTCGCTTCATTCGCCATTCCAGCTCTTAGCCCGTCGCACTGGCTGGTTAAGGAGAGGGCGCCTTTGGAGATCCGAGCGGTCGTGGAGGCCTAAGTCTCAAGAGTCGCCCCCAGAGCGTCGGTTTTGACACTGGTGCCGTGGAGTTGTTAGGATAAGCCGGCCAGTGTGCTCGCCCCGAGAGACCATGGAGATATCAGCGTGGGCAGGATCATTTGGATAGAAAGGAAAAACCATCTGGATGGTGGAGCAGCACGAGGCTGTGGTGAGCCCGTCCGTTCACTAGACTCTTAGACGTCTCTTGGGCCATCTGAGGGCCGCGCATACTGACGCGGCTGAACAAGGGCTACCTCCGTACATTGATGGCTACAGCTTTGGGACGAGCGGTGTGCTAATGAAGTTGGAGGATGACCCGGAGGGCTTAAAGCACAAGGTACCTCTGGAGTTTATGGAAAACTCCGCGATTCAGTTGCGTGTGCAGCACTTCGAGAACACATTGGAAACGGAAGTACTCGAGTGCCAGACCATCGAGGAAGAACATGACAATCTTTTATGTGATGCCATCCCGAACCTGTAAATGCCCTCTTTCCCGCTCTGGACAGGGGCTTGCTGAAACGGGAGGACCAGGTCAGGGAGTTCCGGCTGGCGCAACAGCATGTAAATCATCAACACGTACGGGCAGCACGATTTTGTCGACGTGATGCGCACAGGATGCGCAATAATCGCAGCGTCACGGCTGCCGAGGAGGTGGAGAGCATCTACCAGGAGTTTTGTTTCTTGAAACACACCTCGACCACCAACATCATCCGCTGCGTAACCATGCTGCACAGTCAGTCCCATGTGCACCTGGTGCTCCAGTATCTTGGCGCCAACATCGCAGAGCGGATTTCGTTCGGAAAGCGATCGGATGGGCCGGATGGGCCCGGAGTGTCCTGGAGAATTTCGTTTCCGGATTTCGAGGTGAATTTCGCGCGGAGTTCTTTGGCTTGGCATGAAGACTACAAAAAACACGCGAAATTCACTTCGTTTTTCACTCGCCGTTTCGGGGTTTGCATTGGCAGAAAGCCACGAACAAATCAGCTGCAGCACGTCTGCAAGGTCGGTGCAGTGACCAGTATGGTGGCGACGCCTGCACGGAGCAGGTGTTGTCGACTCAGCCAGGCTGCCGCTTGTCCAGGGACGACGCCCTGGACTGCACCACACATGTCGCAAGAGATCTGTCCTACTGCCACGCACGCCATTGATGTTACTCACGGGCAGGTGTCGCCGAGTCACGTGTTGGTGGAGATGGCGAGGAATCTGCTCGTTTGCCGCTTGGTGGACTTCAGCATGGCAGTCCGCGTTCCAGACTTCAGCACGCGGGAGACCATCTGCGGTGCTCTCCCGTGCGTTGCTCCGGAGACAGCGCTGGAGGAGCCGTACTGGCCCAAGCCGGCAGATTGCTGGAGCCTAGGGGTGGTGCTCCTGGAGGCCGTCGGCGGGCAGGGCTCGCTCGAGCTGTTGGTGCGGTGGCGCCGTGACGCTTCCCTCGCGCAGGCCACGCGGGGGATACTCGAGAACTTCGCCCAAGCCGGCTCCCATGCCCAAGCGATGGCGAGCATGGGCGGCGTGCACGACGATGCGGCGTTGGCGTGCCTGGAAGCCCTGCTGAGGCCCGAGCACCTCCGCAGGGCGAGGCCAGGCGCGTGTAGGCCGCTCGTTTCGGGTCGGACGAGAAAGGTGGAGGAACATATCTCAATTGGCCCTGCTCCGACGAAGGGAGAAGAATCCAGGCATGCGCAGGCCGGCCTTTTGTCGATGATGCGGCGCGTTGGGCATCTGCCTGCTTGCAGTACTCTGCGCCGCAGCGTGGGCGCGGAGAGGTGGCAGCAGTTTTCCTCCCTGCTCTCCTCCTCCCCACCCCCCTTGGCGGGGGGAGGCTTCAAAGGAAAGGGGCTTCCCTTCGACTCGATGACGACGTTGCTCGATGCAATTTTGGCTGAAACGCTTGAGAGGGAGCGGCGACGACGACGACTCAAACGGGAGAGCTCCCCACACATGCCGACGGGGTCGGCGGATCTGTGCACACCGTAGACTGCAGCACACAGCTTGCGCCAGACGTTGTGCACCACGTAGACTGCAACGCATAACTTCTACCGCACAGGTTGCAAATCCAGATTCGGTGACTTGTATTCGTCACGTGATGCGAATCTGAGGAGGAGTAGTAGGAGGAAGGAGGAGGAGAAAGGAAAGGAAGAGAAGGAGGATCAGGAGGGGGAGGGAACTTCGCATCACGTGACGAAATCCCTCTGCCTACAGAGTGCACACACACACACACTCTCACGGGTCGGGGTACACGCTGACAGTCATATGTGTACACGACTCTTCCTTAATGCGGGGCGGAGTAACAAGGATGGTTTTCGGTCAGGGTGATTGCGATGGGGCGAGGGTGCCCGTGCAGAGTGATTCCGGCGCGTTTCCAATTTTGGGAACGTTATGTTTTGCACGGGCACATTGTGTGGCATTGTTTGGCGTATTGTTTGACACTGTTTGGCGTTGTGTGGCATAGACGCATCGACTCCCTTTGTCTCGCATCGCTTGGCATTGGGTGGCATTACTTGGCATTGATGCACCGATAAACCAACACCAAAGAAAAGACCCAAACAACCCAAACCAATGAACAAAGACCAAGGAGCCAAGGCCAAGGAAACAACATCAAGGAACCAAGACCAAGGAACCATAAACCAGGACTAAGGATCCCGAGGAAGGCAGCAGTGGACCAAGACCAAGGAATCAAGTAACCAATGCCAAGAAACTCCGGGAAGGTCGTTCGGCGCAGGCCCCTCTCCCACTGGTTCTCCACAAGCAGGTCAGAAATGTTTAGCTAAAGTCGGGGGTCCCCAAGCGGGGTGGTGACCACTCTGTGCGGTGAGTCGGTTGGGATTCGGGGTCACCGCACGGTTTCGGGACTCGGGTCGTTCTCCGAGGATGTCTCGGGCGACAGGGGCCTTCGGGGTCCCAAGACCGTGCGGTGACGGACCGTGCGGTGAGGGCTCTTGGGGTTCCGAGGTCACCGCACGGTCTGTCACCGCACCGTTTTGGGATTCCAAATCAAGGTTCACCTCGTGCATATTCAAATCGAAATGGACAATTTATTGCATGTTGGCTCTCCTTGTTACAAGGCGTATATTCACTTGTTCATGATGTATCAGTTCATGATTCTATCTCTCTTCTTTCTCCCTCCCTCCTTCTCCCGCCTTCCCCATTTTATGGATCACAAGTCCCGCGACTGTAGGTTGTGCATCGCTCCGATTGTCGTTTGGCAAGCTCCTCTCCCGATGTTTCTGCACCCCGCCATTCGCCTCGTCTTCCACCCGCCTGTCCCACCACCTCCTATCCTTTTACGTCCCCCTTCCTCCCCATTCTCTCTCCCTCTCTACCCCTTTCCCTTCTATCCTCTGCGCCGTGCTGAGCTCTTCCCTGGGCCCCTTTCGGTAGGCCTTCGAGTCCTTCCACGTGCCCGAGGGCGACTTCAACGGGTCCACGGCCACCCATCTTCCAACGGTGATGGGCATCCGATTAGGATCATGTTCGTAGATAGCCAGATCAGGGCTCGAGTTAAACGGTGTTTGGCGATTTCGTGGACCGTTTTCACTTCGATTTAGTTTCGCAGCAGAGGCATAGCGAAGACAGAACGAAGGACAACGAAAGCAACACGACGACACACGGCACTGCCTAGCTCGAGCCCTGAGCCAGACGATGATGATCGAGGGGGGGGCAGGGAGGGGAGAGGCGGCGGAGGAGGAGGAAAGGGAGGAGGAGGAGAGGGGAGGGCGGAGGGCGGAGGAGCAGGACGAGAAAGGAGGGGGACCTGCAGGAGTGTTGCAGGCCAACTAGTCGAACACTCCGAGTTTTTTGATGAGCGTCGTGGGGGCGTCACCTCCGCCGATAGCCCCACGCCGATCCCCGTCGCGGGCAGCCACCGCGCGCCGAAGGCACTCCGACCCCCGTCGCGGCGCGACGACGAGGCGAGGTTGACCCCCGTCGGGGGGGTACCCCCCACGCGTTTTAAGAAACTCACAGTACGGTCGGACCGAGGCATAAGATCGTGGTCGCTTGGGGGATGGTACCCTAATCTCTTTCGTGTGTGTGGAGTGTTCTCTTGTGCATCCTTGGGGAGGGTACCCTGGACTGTTCTTCGGGTTGGCCGGCGGAGGGTCTCGGGTTCTCGACGGATGTTGTTCTGTCTGAGGTCCGGCCGTAGTCAACATCGCCAACCAGACCTGGCAGAACGCAGCCGTGCCCTGTCCACAGGCCGTCCCTGGGCGACACGGGCCTCCGATGTTGGGGACGGCTCTGGACCACACCTGCGCAGCAGAGCGTGTGTGCCCCTTGCCCGTCTTTTTGTTGTTTCTCTCTCTCTCTCTCGCTCTCTTTCTCTCAGTTGTTTGTATTGTTATTGTTGTGGTTGTTGTTGTTGTTGCTGCTGCTGTTGTTGTTGGTGTTGCTGCTGTTGATGTTGCTGTCGCTGTTGTTGCTGTTGTTGCTGTTGTTGTTGTGGTTGTTGTGGTTGTTGTGGTTGTGGTTGTGGTTGTGGTTGTAGTTGTTGATAGTGTTGGTGCGATTGTAGTTGTGGTGGTTGTTGTTGTTGTTGGTGTTGTTGTTTTTGAACTCTCATTTCTGAAGAACAAATAATGTTGACCCCCGCTCACTAGTGCGTACTGGTTTGTCTCAATCAAAGTGTGCCCCTCGACGCTCGCACCTTTTTTTGACGGGGAAAGTCTTGATGCTCTAACTGTGCCCCTGGCCCCCCGGGTTACAACAACAACGGCTCCCGTATGAGACTTCCTCACAATTTAGCCAGGACCCCCGCTCCCGCCGAGACTTCTTTGCATTTGATTCAGGAATCGCGTTCTCGCTTGGGACTTCCTCACAATTTCTTAAGGAATCGCTCTCCCGGCGCCTTGGAGTCGCGCTCTCGTTGGAGACTTGCTTGCAATTTGCTGACGAATAGCGCCCTTGCGTTGGAATTTCTTGCAATCTACTCAAGCGCCGGGCTCCCGACACCCAGGCACCCTAGAGTCGCGCTCACGCTTAGGTCTCCCTCACAGACTACCTAGGAATCGGGATCTCGCTGCCCTTCGTGGCCCCGTTGCAGCCCTTCGTGGCCCCCTCGCTTTGTTTCGTGGCCCCGTTGCAGCCCTTCGTGACCCCCTCGCTTTGTTTCGTGGCCCAGTTGCAGCCCCTCGTGGCCTCCTCGCTGCCCTTCGTGGCCCCGTTGCAGCCCTTTGTGGCCCCCTCGCTTTGTTTCGTGGCCCCGTTGCAGCCCATCGTGGCCCACTCGCTGCCCTTCGTGGCCCCATTGCAGCCCTCCGTGGCCCCGTTGAAGCCCTTCGTGGCCCCCGCGCTTTGTTTCGTGGCCCCGCTGCAGCCCTTCGTGGCCCCCTCGCTGCCCTTCGTGGCCCCATATATGTATACCCTTCGTGGCCCCCGCTCGTTCGCGCCCGTGGTTGCCCCATCTGCATGCCCTTCGTGGCCCCGCTGTCGCCCTTCGTGGCCCCCTCGCTGCCCTTCGTGGTTCCGTTGCTGCCCTCAGTGGCCCCGGCCTTGCCCTCCGCGGCCCAACATACGCATGCCCTTCGTGGCCCCCGCTCGTTCGTGCCCGTTGTGGCCCCATGTGCATGCCCTTCGTGGCCCCGCTGTCGCCGTTTGTGGCCCCCTCACTGTCCTACGTGGCCCAGTTGCTACCCTCAGTGGCCCCATCGTTACCTTCTGTGGCCCCGCATTATCTGCCCTTCGTGGACCCCGCTCGTTTGCGCTCATCGTGGCCCCATACGCATTCCCTTCGTGTCCCCGCTGTCGCCTTTCGTGGCCTACTTCGTGTCCTTCGTGGCCCTGCAGGGAAGAAAGGTATACCCCCCAAAAGGGGTTCGATCGAAGACGAAGAGGGCGGGTATCGAGGGGTTGGGAAATACGCGTTATTGGACACTCGAGCAGCTAAGGGCGAACAGTCTTAAAATGATTATTGTTGTTGCTGTTGCTGTTGTTGTTTCTCTCTCTCTCTCTCTCACGACTCGGGCCTGCGCGAACTAACCGGATGTTGCGGATGGCATTTGGCCACAGTTGCGCAGCAGAGCATATGCGCCCATTGGCCGTCCCTCTCTTTCTCTCTCTCTCTCTCTCTGTCTCTCTGTCGGCGATGCCGTGTCCCAGCGCTGACGGCTGATGATGTCGTCCCCACCTTTGTAGGACAGAGTGGGGGGGGGGAGGTGGGGGCCGGGGAAGGAGGCGGAGGGCAGAGGGCGTACGAAGAGGGGGGAGGAACGGGAGAGATCGGGGAGGGACGGGCAGCGGGGAGGGAGGAGGGGGAGGACAGGGAGGCGTGGAGCGCATGCGAAGGCAGCGGGGGAGGGGGGGTAATCAGGGCTCATTTCGACTCCTCCGATTCGATTCGATTCTATTTTAATGGCTTCCGATTCCGATCCGATTCGATTTGGGATTCCGATTTGGGCTCCGATTTCTTGTTGGAGGCATACTAGCCTGCCGATGTCCGTCGATTCGACTTTCCCCGACTCGGCTGCCGATTTCCGCCGATCCGATTCATTTCGATCGCCGATCCAACTTATCGATTCGATTCTGGGCTCTCCTGGTAATGACGAGGGAGGAGCGTGGGAAGGGAGGCAGGGAGCGCATGAGGGAGAGGGAGGATACGTAGGATCACCACCCACCAAACCACCCCAACCCAGCCCGAAGGCCTCACTGTGCCTTCAATTTCCAGTGGGGTGGTCGGGGAACAACGGGAAAAGCACACATGGAACCCGTGTCCCCCCCATCCCGAATTTGGATCTTCGGGTTAGGTTGGGGTGGTCTGGCAGGTAGTCAGAGGAGGGCGGAGGGAGAAGGATGGCGGAGAAGGGCGAGAGAGGAGAGGGGAGGGGGGCGGGCGGAAGGCAGGGGGCGCGCGAGGAGGGGGGAGGAGGAGGAGAGATCGGGGATCCGAGCATCAAGGGTCTGAGGATCCGAGGATCGAGGCTCGAGGCTCTGAGGCCGTGAGGATCCGAGGATCTGGGATCCGTTGAGGAGTGGCCGCGCTGTCCGCGGGCCGCCCTCGCCGCCGCCGCCCGCGAGCAGGGTGGAACGGGGGGTACAGCCGTGCCGCTGAATAAGGAACACTTGCTTTTCAAAAGGGGCTCGGGCGTTCCGTAGGCTTGCATGCGTTCCGTTTTTTTTTGGCTGCGATCCCTTTCGGTGCCCCTTCGGATTTCGTGGGCTTCTTTGGAAGAAAGGGGCCTCGTTCCTCATTTGTCGTTCCTTGGGTCAGCGGCCCGACTGTAGGGAGGCCAGGATGACGAGGCTGGCGGCGGAGGGAGGAGGGGGCGGCAGGGGCGGCGACGGACGAGGGCAGAGCCCTGCAGGTAGGGATGGAAGAGGGAAGGACGTGGGGAGGGGGGAAGTTCGAGGTTCGAGGTTATCGGGCGGTTTCGTAGTTTCTTGCCGGTTTTCTGGCCTCGGGGTGCGTTCCAGCGGCTGCGCCTCGCCGAGAGCGTTTCGGGGATGCCTGGATCGGCGCGAACGGCCGCCGGAGACCCGAGCCTTGCGGGCAGGGATGGAAGAGGGGAGGGGGAGTTTGATGGCGGACAGCTAGGGGCAGGAAGTCAGAGGAGGCAAGGGTACCAAGACCTCTACCCTTCCCTCGTTGTCGCTCTTTTGGGGCCTCCTGAGAGACCCTCGTCGCCACCGCTGGATTCGCCTCGAAGTCTTGGTCAGAACGCGCCCTGGAGAGGTCCGGGGGGGGGAGCGGTACCGGTACCTTTTGGGTTCCCCGTATATTGCGGTGGAAGAGGGGCAGGATGAGACGGAGGGAGGAGAGCGGAGGACGAGGACGAGGAGAACGGAGGAAATTCGAAGGAGGATGGTGGGATCGAGGAACGACAAACTACATGATCAGAAGCTTTTGAAGCGCTGCCCCCCTTGGCGGCGCCTTCGACTGATGCCCGCAGCTGTGTTCAGCAGTTCACAGACGAGGGCCCCAGCAGCGGGGACGCCCGTCCGCTGGAAGCAGGAGGGCTCGTCGCATCTCGTGGCATCGTTCGTCCCACCATCGATCGAGGAAGGCGCGGGAGGATACGGAAGATGAAGCGGACATGGCGAGGAGGGTCCGCACAGTCGTATTTGACCGCGACACTTCCAGATCAAGGGTGCTCTCGTGTCATGTATGTTCGCGCCCCAGGTCCTCTCTGCACTCCTGATGGCAGTGCGGCCCTCAGAAATCCCTCGTGTCCTCTCGAGCGTCCTCTCCAATCATGATTTGACTGCACGTGGGAGGGTGGACGAGAGAGAGGAATCCGGTCCTTCCTCCCAAAACATCAGACAGTGTGAATTCTAGACGCTTCGTGTATCCCCACCAGCCGGCTGGAGGTTGCTCAGCCACGTGAACGCACACCAGTGGTCTGCCTCTTACTGGATGGTGCTCGGACGCGGATCAGCCACACCTCAGCCTCAGTGAGCCTTGGTGAGTCGGGTCACCCTCGCCGCATCATCGTATGCTCGTGGATGTGCAGTGAGTCTGAATTAGTTGCTCTCGCTCCCGCTCACCCCCCCTTTTTTCCCGAGGTCTTGGACGGCCTGGGTCAGTGTGCACACACGTGGGTTCCGTCTTGTCATTGGCCGCTCGGACTCGCGTTTTGCCCGCGGCTTGTTACAGTATCTTGCTGTCCGTTTTGGCCTCGCTTACGGTTGTGGTTCGGCTGGAGCTTGGCGCCGCAAGGGCGACTTCTCCTCCTGGTTCCTTTGCCGCCTCGTTGCCGCGCCTTTTGCTTCCCCACCAGCTGGGCTGACTGGGCCGGTCACCAGCAGACGCTGAAATGCGTTTCAATGAGGGGCATTTTGTCCCCGGCATGTGCATGTGCCGCTGCGAGTGTTGTCCGCTGGAATCCGCGGCAATATCGCGCCAAGTAATGACGTACCGCGCCCCGGACGTTGTGCTCGCTCCCTGTCTCTCGCCTCGGAGCCGCGGACCAAAAAAGTATCCCCACCAGCCACGGAGCGATCGACATCTGCGTGTTCATGGTCGCGCCGCCGCGCCATTTGGGCTGCGCTTACTTGCTGGTCGCCAACGAGGTTTCCACGCCACCGGGTTTGGGAGTATCTGCTCTGGCTCTCCTTCTGAGTGGCTGCCCGCTCGCTCGCTTCGCTTGCCTTTCTTTTCCTGTTGCCTAGTCGCGGCCCGACTAGTGTTCGGACGGCTTTCGACCTGCCTCGCGAGCCTGTTGACCAAAAAGTATCCCCACCAGCCCATCCAGAAACAATGTCCAGGCGAGTTGAAGTGATCAGGAAAGTGCGGAAGCAATGAGAGGGACGGTCGAACCGTACGATGGAGGGAGGAGGAGAAGGAGGAGGTTGGATGAGGGAATGGGGAGCAGGACGATGAATAGGAGGAGGATGCTGATTATGACGATGATGATGAGGAGGAGGAGGAGGAGGAAGAAAAAGAAAAGGAGTAGGAGGAGGGAGGGTGAGCAGGAGGAGGAGGAGGGCTAGTAAAAAGGGCCAGAGGTATCTTGGGTGCCTCTCGGAGCCTTTTGGGATGTCTCGTGGGCGTGTCTTGGTGGCTTCTTGGGAAGTCTTGGGTGTCTCTTGGCGGTCCTGGGGCGTCTTGGGCGTCTTGGGTGCCTCGGTGGGGCCTCTGAGGGCCAGTTTGGGGCCTCTTGGGGGCCTCCTGGGGGCCTCTTCGGGGCCTCTTGGGGCCAGTTTGGGGCCATCTTGGGGCCTCTTGGGGCCTGTCGGGCGTTTCGGGCTATCTTAGAGGAGATCGATCAAAGAAGAGGGGCGCTCCTTTTAGCATCGCCCCCCCAAGAGGCTCAAATGGTGCCAAAACCCTAGTACAACTGATGATTGCGGCTTCCTCGCCGAGGACGTTTTGGACGCCCTGACCGCTCGCGACCATTCCCGTCCAGGTCCAGGGGAGGGGGTAGGGCCAGGGGGAGGGGTAAACCGTAAGCCCCTCCCCGAAGGGCAAGGAAGGGGGTTGCAAGAGGAGCCGCCCTAGACCACCTACGCCCAGAGGGCTGGTTGGATTTCATAGATCGACGAGGGACGCCAGGATTGGAACTCCCCAGGAACGACTCTTCATCCCGAACCGTCTTTCCACGGTCTTGGGGCCCGTGGAGTGCCCCCGGGAGGGCCCGAAAGCGGCGAAAAGATCCCGGGACCCTCTCCCCGCAGGATCCGTTTCCGGAATTGACCTTCGCGTGCAGCGAGCTCGCACTGACCCCTTACGCCCTTGCCGCAAGCCACGGCCGTGCCGCCTCTCCTGAGCAAGACCGTCCGTGTCCCTCCCGCGATGAGCACTGGCAAGAGGCCAGCATCGAACAGGGCCGGGACGCGGACAAAGCCGTTCCAGAGCTTTCCGGCGCGCTCTCAGAGCGTTCCGGAATGCTCTGACAGGCCGCGGCGCCCGAGACGTTATCCAGAGCCGGCGGATCCGAGAGAGGACCATTTGGTCCTCACCAGATGTGATCCTCGTCCTGGCCTCCTTTCGAGCAGCAGGAGGGCAGCAGAGGAGCCGCCCGGCCTGGAGGCCCAGAGAGCGGCGCGGGGCGGGGCCCCCAGGGGGGCAGGCCCTCCCCGCCAGGTGATCACCACCTTGCGGTCGGGAGCTTCGGCGTAGCGTGTCGTGCCGGCAGCTCTGTCGGCGGCGAGCGAGGGGGGGAGAGGTGAGAAGGAGAAGGCCTTCCCAGAAGGCACGGGACTTCTCAGACGCACTCGCGCCTTCCGAGAAGTTGTTTCTTTGTCTTCGGGGGAGGCTTAGATCAGGGGCAACGATGGGGGGGGATAGGCATTGGGGGGATACATCGGCCCCCAATCGCCCATTGATCGCCGATAGGGGCCCGATAGCTCCAACCAGCCGAGGAAAGTGCGGATTGACGATGGGAGGTCTATCGCCGGCCTATCGGCGATGTATCGCCGGTTCCAGGTCGATGCATCCCCCCTATGCCAGTCCCCCCCTACCGTTGCCCCTCATTAGAAAACCTTTCATAAGGCTGGGGGACTTCCGAGCGTTCTGAGTCGGGAGCCTTGAGACGGGGGTCAATGCAAACGGGGGTCAGCCAGAGCGCCGGATCTTGCAGGATCCTGCAGGGCCAGGGTCGCATTGACCCGGGTTTGGGTTCAGGATCCTGCAGGATCTTGCAGGAGTTTTCGCATTGACCCAGGCTTGTGCACAGGACCTTGCAGGATTTTGCAGGACTCTGCAAGGCCTGGCTGACCCGGGTCAGAAGATCTCCAACGCAGAAGGCCCGACCCTTCTCTATTTTCGCCCCTGGGCGCGCCGCCGATTATGGCCCACCACGCCTTGGCGCGACCCATTATCCACGTCCGTAAGTCCAAGCGCCAGCGTCTCGTGTCTGTCCCAGCCTTTCCCCCCCCGCGGAGCGGAGCGACACGCCATCCGCTCGTAAGGCACAGCGCGTCGCCGCGACGTGCTGAGCAAGAGCTTCTGACGGTTAAGCAGTCGCCCAGCCCCGAGAACGCGAGGGCCAAATCAGAACGCAGGCTCCTTGAGATTTCTGGGAGGCAGACTTCAGGCCAGGCTTGTCCTCCCGGAGACCGGCGGCGAACGCAGACCCTGCCAAGAGCTTTTCCCTGTTGGCCGACTCTCGAGTCTGTTGCCGATCTGCGGTCTCGGGATGCGGGGCCGGGCCCTCCCCGCCAGGTGACGTCGGCGCCCCCGCCGCCGGGTGCGCCCAGCCAGAGCCCCGCCGCCCGTTGGGAGCAGGCGCAGGCCCCGCTCCAGGAGCCGCGGGGATCGGCCGGCGCGCGCGCGTCGGGCGCGGAGGAGGGCCAGGGGCGGCTTGGCCGGCCCCCAGCAAGCCATCCCCTTCCGTGGCGTCCTCCTCGCCGCGCCCCAGGACGCACGCATGCGGCTGGAGGGAAGCCTGGAAGGCGAGGGTGACGTCACGGAAGGGGACGGTGTGCTGCACTGCGAGGTGTCGGCGAGGCCGCGCCCGAACGGGGGGCGCGGAGTTGTGGCGTTTCGGCATGGGGGTGAGCGATGAACAGTGGGGAACGTCGAGGGTTGCAGGGAGTGGGCGGTAACGGAGGGACGGTACACGGGGGGGGGGGCGGGGGGGCGATGAGTGGGGCGTTTCGTGCTGGGGCGATCGATGGGGAGGGCGATAGGTGGGGCGTTCCGTGACAGGGCCGGGGGGGGGATCAGTGGGCGGGCGATCAATGGGGCGCTTCGTGGTGGGGGTTGGGGCGTTTCGTGATGGGGGGGACGGGGGTGATGCAGGGGGAGAGGGGGGGGGCGGGCTGTCGAGTGTTGCAGGGCAGGGCCCCACACGGGCCCCACATTGGCCTCGACGGTGCGCGAAAGGTGCGCACGTCTGAAAGAGCGTGTTCTACCGCTGCTGGGGGTCACTACCGGTTCGAACCCCTCTCCTCCCCCCCCCCTCCAGAAAACCGGGGGGGTCACTATCGGTTCGAACCCCTCCCCCCCCCTAGTTCATCATGAAAAGGAGGGCGGGCCACTAATGGTTCGAACCCCCCCCCCCTCCCTGGAAAACCGGGGGGGGGTCACTACCGGTTCGTCTCGAAAACCGACGGACGACAGTGGTCAGTGGTGGGGACAGTGGGACAGTAGTGAGGGGACTGTAGTGGTGGGGACGGTGGTGAGGACAATTGTGGGAACAGTGGGGACAGTGGACAGTGGTGGGGACGGTGGTGGTGGGGACAGTGGTGTGGGGACAGGGGGAGGTGGAAACAGTGGGACAGTGGAGTGGCGGTGCTGGGGACAGTGGTGAAGGCGGTGGCGAGAACGGCGGTGGGACAATGGGGCAGAGGTACAGTGGGGACAGTGGCGGGGACAGTGGGGACAGTGGTGGGAACAGTGGGACAGCTCAGTGGGACAGCGGAGGAGTCAGTGGGACAGTGGGGACAGTGGGGATAGTCGGGCAGTGGTTGGAGCCGTGTAGAAAGTGGGGAGAGTGGAACCGTCGTGGGAACAGTGGTGGGGACAGTGGGGACAGTGCGACAGTGGTGGGAGCACTGGTGGGGACAGTAGGGACGGTGCTGGAACCAGTGGGGACAGTGGTGGTGAGGACAGTGGTGCTGGGAACAACAATGGGGGATGTGGCGCGGACGGTGGTAGGGACTGGGAGTCGCGTTTGCTGGCAGTGAGTGTGGGGGGGTGGGGAGGGGTTCAAACCGGTAGTGACCCCCCTCTCTCGCACGTCTTCACCCCCCGCCCCAGGGGCGATGCAGGCCCAGGACAGGCCCGTCTGGGAGCAGAGGGGGTCCTGGGCGGGGGGGGAACGGCTCAAGGGGGGGGCATCGAGCTGGAGCCGGCGCTCCAGCTGGGCTGGATGTCCTCGACGCTGCACGCCGACCTGCACTCACTCTCGACGCTGGTCGAGCTGAGGAGGAGGAGGAGGAGGAGGAGGAGGAGGAGGAGGAGGAGGAGGAGGAGAGGAGGAGAGGGAGGAGGAGGAGGGAGGAGGAGGGAGGAGGAGGAAGAGGAGGAGGAGGAGGAGGAGGTGGAGGAGGAGGAGGAGGAGGGAGGAGGAGGAGCAGCAGGAGCAGGAGGAGGAGGAGGAGGAGCAGGAGGACGAGCAGGATTAGGACGAGCAGGAGGAGGAGGAGGAGGAGGAGGAGGGGGAGGTCTGTTCCCCTCATGCGTCGGTTGTTGGTTATCCGAGCAGCCTGCTTTCTTGGGTTTGCGCGGCTGTTCTGAGCAGTGTGTTGGGTGTGCTGGGGTTTGGCCCCGGTGCCCGCCCGTGGGCTCGCTGTGGGCTTCCACGACGTAGCTCACATAACTCCACAACACATAGCGTACACCCCATGCAGTGCCGTTTTTAATACATGCTCCGCGTGCATATCATGTATGAAAGATGCAGGGATTTAGTATTAAAAACAACGCTGAGTTCATGCATACTTTTATTCATAGATTAGCCATGTATTGAAATCCTATAGTTTTAAACACCCGATGTATTAAAAACTGCCCTGTAGCTTACACACCACACACACATCACGCAGTTTACACCACCCAGCTTGCACAGTGCACCTCTCACCATGGCTCGTGCCACGCAGCATACATACATCCAGAGTGCAACTGCCCACTCTGCCACACTGGAACACCTCTTCCATGACCTATGGCAGAGACGTGTCCTAGATGCTCGTTTGGGGGACCTTCCTGGGGCCCACCTAACGAATCTCTTCGACTCTAGTTTGATTCCAGTTCGACTCCAGTTCGATTCAAGTTCGACTCAGATTCATCTCAGGTTCGACTCAAGCTCGACTCAAGCTCGACTCCACTCGACGGACGTTCGATGCAGCTTCGACGCACGAGTGGAGCGAGTGGTTCTTGCAAGGTCCCCAGAATGAGCGAGGTGGTCCCAGCGCCTTCCTGTACGCTCTCAGAGCGTTCTTCGGGGGCGCTCCTCGGAGAGCTGGCCGCGGCGCCCGAGGCATCCCTCCGAGCCGGCTGGCTCTAAAAGGTTATCTCGGATCTTCAAGCCATGGCGAAGCTGCCCACCAAAAAAAGTTCTGAGAATCTGTTGTGGTCTGCTCGAAAGTGACTTAGAACATTTCTGGCTCATATTGCATTGTTTTAACACACCGGTCTTATGTTCAAAAAACGCAATTTTTGTTATTAGAACATTTTGGGGGTCCACGGTTAGTCCCTGCTCAATATCCGAGCGCTCCGGGTTCACTCGTTTTGGCGTCGCTTTAGCGGGGTAAGGACGTTTGGTCGTACGCGGTTTCTCGTTCCTGACCCCCGAGATCCCATCCAGACGCTGTTCGCTGCGGTCGGGCGGAGGTATAAGATCGTGGTCGGTTCCTCGTGCTGATTGGATGTTCTTGTACAGCCTGGGGGAGGGAGGGTTCCCTCGGTGATCTTCTGCTTTGCGGTGTTTTGGCTGGCGGAGTGTCTCATGCCATTGCAAGATGATTTTCTGTCCTCGGTCTGGCCGCACGAACAATGCTTGGAACTCGAAGACACAAACCGAGGGGTCTATGCGGACGAACCTATATAGGGAATGGGCGCACCCCATGGTTCATTCCCCTGTTGGGTCCGCAAGTTTTGGCCCACTCGAAAGGCCAACGCATGGCGGTCGCTATACCCCAGTGATTTGGGGTTGTGCATAGGCAGACTCCCAGAGGTGAAGTTGGCACGAGGGTTTGAGAGCGGCCTCCAGGTGCAGTTGTCACGAGGATTTTGGAGGGGTGCCCCTGTGTTCTTCGTGCTCGGGCTGTTCACGTCGGAGTGCTCTTCGTCTGGGGTGCCTGCGTGGGGCTCTGGGCCTTCGGCGAAGGGGTCCAGACTCTTGATTTGCGCTCTTGTGGCCACGTTTCGACCAGGGCTGGACCTGGACGCTGGTCTGCTGGACCTCGGCTGTGTTGTGTTTTCCGTCCTGGCAGGGAGGTACAGGAACAGGTAGAGCAGAACGAAACACAAGACGAAACACAACGTCCAGGTCCAGCCGTGGTCAGCAGGCCTCCAGGGCAGCACGTGGCGGTCTCGGCACCCCCCCTTGGTGGCGCCCCCGGGAGCTCGCTGCGCGCCTCTGGGGTGCCGAGGCCGCCTCGGGCAGAGGAAACCGCGGCGGGGGACCGCGTGGAGGCCGACCCGTGGCTGTCCCGTGTGGGCCGCTGTTGCTCGGCCCGAGGTGTTTTTGTTCTAGTGTGTGTGTGTGTGGTTGCGTGTGTTTTTCCATTTTGTGTGGTGTTTGCCCCCATGGTGTTTTTGTTGCTTGGTTTTGCCGTGTATGTGCGCGTGTGTCGTTGTGCTTGTTTCTGTTTGTGTGCGTGTTGTGTTTCTTGTGTGTGTGTGTGTGCGCGTGTGTGTGTGTGTGTGTGTGTGTGTCGGGAGGGGGGCGCCCAGGGCCCAGGGCCATGGGTTGAGCAATACGTTGTTGCTTTCTGCCGCGCAGGGCGGAGGCCGCCCCGCGCCGTCCGCCAGCACCCTGCGGGGCGTACACAGGCCATCGCCGCCTGGGCGGGGACTTTGTCCCGCAGGACTTGACCCTGGAGGACAGGCCGCAGCCTCGAGTGGACGAGGGGGAGGGGCCAGGTGTGTGACCCGCGGGTGTGCGAGCGAGGGCGGGCGACGACGATGTCGTCGTCTGGCTCTGACGATTCCTTGGCCGCTTCGTTGGGTTGTCGTTTGAGCGCGCGTCGGCCATGACTGGAAGTGGGATCAGAAAGGAATGTGGAAGCGCAGGAAGGAGCTGGCAGGACACGAAGTCGACGCCGTCGCTTTGGATTTTTCCAGCCAATGGCGAAGTCTGTTCATGGGAGCCTTGGCTGTCGGCATTGGGATGAATTGTTGTTTCGACGTTTGGGCCGCATGTGGATCAGTTCTTCTTCTCGCCACTCTTTTGGAAGGGGCGAAGCCCGTCCACATCCGGTCCCAAACGTGCTCCAAATCTGGCCCAAATCAGACAGCGCTGGGGGCCGCGCAGGCTCCCATGGAAGGGACACCACACCGTTGGGGCCTCCTCGTCAGCCGTGGCTTCGCCGGTGGGGCAGCGCCTCGGCCGGAGAGGACACCTGGGCGGTGCCGGCCCAGTGCGCGGAGGAGGCCGCGTGGGCGGCGCCGGCGCAGGGCGGGGCCCAGTCTGAGGTCGGCACGTTCGGTGGCAATTCATGAGAGCCGTGCGTGCCCTCGTTATTCTGTCCGTAGCGTCGATTAGCGTATTGGAGTCGGTGGGATATATAGCGGAGATGTAGCGTCGGTTTAGCGTCGATTAGCGTCGACCAGCGTCGACCAGCGTCGATGAGCTTCGATTCGCAAGAGCCGGCAAGACGGTATGGGCGGCCCCCACGAGTTGCCACCGAGGGCACGATCGAATGGGGACGCAAACGCAGAACCCCGACGATCGGTTTGTTCAATCGCAGCACTTTTCCTCGAAATCGGCATCTGGAGCGTGTTACTGGGCCCCAGGGCAATCAAGAGTTGACCCTGGACGAAGAAATTCCCCCTGGGAGTTGGTCAGGACCATGATCATTGAAAACGCATACACACATCGTCGGACGTCCGGGAAGAACGGGGACGAAGCCCGACAGCAGTTCCTGCCCGTTTTGAGCACGACTCGCTGTCGTCAAGGGCAACCAGAGGAGGGGATAGTTAGGCTCAAGGGGGGAAATATTGACCCTCAATCGCCCGTTCATCGCCGATCGGGTCTTGGGTAACCCACTATTCCCTGGAACCTGTCAACGGTAAATCGGCGGTGCATTGCCGATTCCAGGTTCAGGGTTCCCCGTTGAGCAACTCGTCCCCCCCGGTTCGACCCCCTTCAAACTCGCAATCACTTTTCGCACGGCGCGCTATCGGTGTCGCCGCGGCTGTTGCCCATCTGGGACGGCCTGTCGCCTGCCGAGCGGCGGCCGCTGCCTGCTTTAGGCAGCATCTGCTGCCGGGCATTGTTCCCATATTTGCCGTGGCCCGTTTGGTACAGTAGGGGCCCGACCGCAAGAAACCGTCGACAAGAAACCCAGCCCTGAGACCCCCAGGACGTCCATCGATTTTTGGTGTGGGAACGTCACGCTTTCCATAGCAAAACCGTCGAAACCCAAGAAATCCAGGGCACCCTGGAGGCAAGCAGGGTGTTTCTTGACATGGGCCCCCACTGTACGCTCCTGCGAGGTAGTGGCGTGGGCGCCAGTGGAAGCGGGCATCGACCACGACATTCCTCAGGAGGACAGGGAAGGGGAGGCAGGCGTCCGGTAGAAGGCCACATTCGAACCATGCCCCACTACCCCAGGATTTCTAAGGGGAGAGGTGGGGTTCACTTCGTTCGGGAGGTCCCAGGCGAAGTGAACCACCCCACCTCCCCCCCTCAGAAATCCTGGGGTGGTGGGGTAGAATTCGCATGTGGCCTCCTATCCAGGGTCTTGAAGAGCATAGTTATCGGGTCCGTGGTTTTGCTCCCCCTCTGCCTCTTGCAGTTCAGGCCCTGGGGCCGTCAGAAGACGGCTCAGAGAGGGAAGCCGGCCCTTGGGGAAGTGGTCGAGAGGTCCAGAGGCTCGAGATTCGAACATTATCGAGTCGGCCGCGGTCGTGGGGGGAGGTGAAGAGGGAGGAGAAGGAGGAGGTATCGGTTTCTCTTGTCAGGCGATCGCCAACATGGATCAAGTGGGCATGGATTAGCGAGGGGTCCCGTTTCCATGGGAATCGCGGATTTCCGCCGCCGAGCGAGGCGGTACCGGCTGCATTTTGGGGAGGGCACCTCCCCCGATCCATGGATTTGGCGACCGCGCGCCAAATACATGGATCTCTAATCCATGTTTGCGTGCCCCCGATCTTGGTAGGGTGGGATGCCTTGTCCTCGATTCCGTCCTGTCTGGCATCCTGGGGATTCGTCTCGCCACGTGCCTGCGGCACACCCCGCCGCCGTACCTGTGCCTGTGCAACAGCACAGCAGGAGGGAGGCTGAGTGTAGGAGCAGCGCAATTCCGACGAGAGGTTTGAACTGATACGGGTCGTGAACTCAGCTCGTCTTCGACCGCGCAATGGGGAGGAGGTTGAGTTCATGTCCCGCTGCAGTTCAACGATCCGTCTGAACTTGGACGGGTTGTGAACTCTACCTCGTCTTCGTCCACGCGGTAGGAAGGGTAGTTTTCAGGGCCCGCTGCACTTCAGCGAGTGGTCTGAACTGGAACGGGTCGTAAACTCGACCTCGCCTTCGTCCGCGTGGTATGAAGGCGGTCCAGTTCACGCCTCAATGCAAACCAGTGATTTCTCTGAACTGAGGAGGGTGGTGATCTCGACCTCGACCTGGCCCGCGCGGTAGGATGGGAGGTCGAATTCACGCTACGCGGCAGTTCAGCGAGTGGGTTGGACTGAGGTGGGTCGTGATACGTGATCTCCACCTGGCGTTCGCCCGCGAGGTGCGGATGAGGAGGATGAGGGCGAGGAAGCCTTTGCGGCCTTCTTCTTGGGGCCTCCTCGGAGCCTCCTGAGGGCCTCTTGGCGGCCTCTTGGGGGCCTCCTGGGGCATCTTGGGGGTCTCTTGAGGCTTCTTGGGCCGTCTTAGAGAACCTCTTGGCCTGTCTGACGCCTTCGGAGGCCATCTTCGGGGCTTCCTCGGGTCGTCTTGGTGCTTGATTCAAGCGTTTCGGGGCAGTCTTGGGGCCCTCTTGGGAGGCTCCTGGGCGATCGTGGGGCCTTCACGGGCTGACTCGGGGCCGCCCTGGGGACCTCATGGGCTGTCCTGGACCTATCTCACTCTTGGATTGTCTTGCGCGGTCGGAAGCCCAAACAGGCGAGAGCCTCAGAATCCTTCAAAGATCTGCGGGAATCCAATGGTTTGGGCATCCTCGGGCTCTCTTGGAGGGCCTCTTGGAGCCCTCGGTGGCCGTCTTTGGATCCTCTTGAGCTGTCTTGAGGCCGTCTTGGGACCCTCGGGGGCCGTCTTGGGCTATCTTTGGCCGCCTTGGTGTCATCTTGACTGCCTTGGAAGCCGTCTTGAAGGCCATCTTACCCGTCTGGAGGCCGAAAAGAGATCGCCAGAGATCTAAGTTCAGCGGGGCGATTTTCAGAGAAATCTCCCACACAACAGCAAGCATTCTAACACGCCTACTGGGAACAAGGCCCGGTGGCGGATAGATTGGAGTTGCCCTCCTCGTCACGGCTGCATGCGCCTCGGGATCCTGGTCCGAGTGCGCCCGGGAGGGGTCCGAGCAGTCTCGGTGTCGGTATCTGTCTGCTCCCCCGCTCGGAGGCCCGCGGCAAGTTGGCGCCGAGCGGTCCCCGAAGTTGCCGTCCCGTCGTTGGCCGTCTCGTCAAGGTCGAGCTTCGCCAGCACGCGCGTCGTGTCTGCACGCGCTCCTGGCTTCTCGGCGCACCCGGCTCCAGGAGCGAGAGATGCGGGCCCAGCCCGGCTTGGCTCCCCGGAGCTTGAGGCCACGGGGAGGTGGCAGGAGGGGCGGGTGTTTCTCGGACGGGGCCAGGACGAGGACGAATACGTTCCAGAGCGTTTCAGAACGAACTCAGAGCGTTCCGGGACGCTCTGAGGAGACCACGGCGCCCGAGACATCCTCCAAATCCGCCCGATGTCAGAGATTCTCGATGTATCCGCACCCGATGTTCTCCTCGTCCTGGCTCCGTCTTAGTTTCCCAAGCGGGTGAGAAATCGAGGCGGAGGGGGTCTCGGGGGATGTGGGTTTGGCGAGGTGATCCAAAGGACCCGGCGTCTCAGAAGGTCGGTGGGGCTCTTCGATCTCCACCCAGGGCAGTCCCTCGTGCAATGCGCGCGTTCGTTTGGTGCGAGGCTACTGGATGAGTGTCACCACAGGCTAGATTGGACAGAGAGGAAGAGCGACGACCATCCACGCTTGCATTGGCAGGGAAACGTGACGTACGGTGAGCACCGTGCAGGAACACGCACATCTCGTAGCCTGTCCTTCCCTCAGTGTTCATACTGATTGCCTCTGATGGGCATGTGGTCCTGCAGGAGTTGATCTGCCCCGTCATGGTTATTGACGCAGCCTTGGCGGAAGAGGTCCAGAAGATCCAGCTCCAGGTGGGTAGCTTGTCCCTCGGCTTGCCGCCCGTGCGCGCGTCTTACGCTTGATCCTGATGTGTTGCAGATTTCAGCATCGATTCTGAGCTGGCTTGGTGCAGCCGTACGCTTAGTGGGCCCTGGAAACGACAGGGCCGCCATTTTTGTCGCCAGTCCCGTTGCCGGCTTTGCCGGCTCCGTCGCCGTCGTTTTCCAGCTCCGGCTCCAGTTCCAATCCCGTTTCCAGTCGTTTTTGTTGTTGTTTCCATTGTCCAGCAGTTTTTTTGTTCGGAAGCGGCCTTGCCGCTTCCAGGGCCTATTAAGGCCATACGCACACTGCCCTTCGTATTGCGCGGGCTATCGGCGGGCCGTGCTGTCGCTCCGCTGCTCCGAGATCGAGTACTACCTCAGCGACTCGAACCTTCAGACGGACGGCTTCTTTCACCAGAAGATTAGCGAGAGTCATGAAGGCTGGCGCCTCAAAGCGAGGTCGAGCGTCCTCTTCCCCTCCGCGACACCCTCGACGGATTTCTCTTGCTTCTCCTCCTCCCTGTCATTGTTCAGGCGATCGCAAACATGGATCAAGGGGGCGACGGGTCCCGTTTCCATGGGAAATCGCGATTTCCGCCGCCGAGCGAGGCGGCACCAGCCGCATTCTGGGGAGGGCACCTCCCCCGATCCATGGATTTGGCGACCGCGCGCAAAATCCATAGATCGCTAATCCATGTTTGCGCGGCCCGAATTGTCCTCCACCCTCGCCCATTCCATTCGCCCTCGTCCTCGTCCTTATTGGTCTCCTCGTGCTCCGTTCTTCGTCCTCTCTGGCCCTTCCTCATCGGCTCGATGTGCGAGCATGGCATGGCAAGGTCCCGTCGAGACCACATTCTTTGCGCCTTGCGTAAGTATCCCCACCAGTCCATCCAACAGCACTGACCAGGCAACTTGACCTGATCATGGATGCGTAGCAGCAGGCTGTCACGCTCTGGGAGCTTCCTGGAGGCATCGTGGGGCCCTCTTGAGGTCATGTTAGATGCCCGTCAAGCTCTCGTGGGACCCTCTTGGAGCTCTCTTCGGGCCCTCTTGGTGGCCTTGAGGAGCCCCGTGGAGTCATATTGGATGCCACCGGTCCGAAAGGATGGGTGGGCTGCGCGGAGCAGGCAGCGTCCTTGGGAGCCCTCAACATCGCCTCTTTGGGCCTTCTTGGGGCGCTCTTGGGCGCTCTTTCTTCTGTCTTGGGCCCCTCTTGGGGCTTTCTTGGGCCATGGCGGCGCCATCTTGGGGCCTCGAGGGCCCATCGGAAGCGAGAAGGCGAGCAGACACCATCAATCGTATGGCTTGGGATGGGCCTCTCGTGGGGGATCTTTGGGAGGCCCCGTGACCACTTGGACCTGTTTGTGGATGGTCTTGGGGCTTCTTGAGGGCATCTTGGAAGCCATCTTGAACCATTTTTGCCCACTGTGTGCGATCGTGGAGGCCATCTGGAGCTAGCTGCGGCCCTCTTGAAGCCATCTTGGACGCTCCAACCCCTTGCGAAAGGCCCCTTCCAGACCCAGGGAGAGGGGTTGGTGGAGAGGTAGGCCTTTCGCCCACGAAGAACGGAGGTTGGAAAACCAAACTCGCGAAACCACCTGCGCCAAAAGGGCTGGTGTGATTACTAGCCGGCCGCTCTGCGGTTCATCCGGAATTTCTGTATATATATATATATATATAGAAGAAGGGGCGTGCGCCTGTGCTCGACGACGATGGTGAGAATGAGCGAGCGGCGGTGGTGCGGCGGGTGAAGATCAGGATGGTGAGGATCAGGCGTGTGAGGCTCACTAGCTGGAGGTCCCTGGAGGCCAAGTGTCCTCCTCGTCCTCCTCCTGCTCCTGCTCCTCCTCCTCCTCCTCCTCCTACACATTCTCGCTCTCTTCTCCTCCCCTCCTCCCGCCTCCCTCCTCCCTCCTCCGTCCTTCTGCGTCTTCTTCCCTGCTCATCCTTCTCCTCCTCGCGCTCGCCCTCGTGCTGGTCCTCGTTGTCGTTCTCGTCCTCGCCTGGTGCGCCCGGCGCGCCCGGCGCATCGCCAGAATGGTCACCATGGGGGTGCGCTGGGGGCCCGCGGGGCGGTTTTGCGAGCATGTCTCGAGCGAGTGCGCCGGATCGGGACACGCCCGGCGCGCCCGGCGCATCGCCAGACATGGTTGCGCTGGGCGCCTGTGGGGCGGTTTTGCGCGGATGTCTCCAGCGAGGGCGCTGGATCGGGACACGCCCGGCGCGCCCAGCGCGCTCGGCGTATTGCCGGAAATGGTCCCTGGGGGTGCGCCGGGGCATGGAGACGATTTTGCGAGGATGTGTCGAGCCCGGCGCATCGCTGGAAATGGTCCCGGGGGTGCGTTTGGGGCCCGTGGGGCGATTGTGCGAGGATGTCCCGAGCGAGGGCGCCAGATGGGGACACCCTCGGCGCATCGCCGGAAATGGTTCCTGGGGGTGCGTTGGGAGGCAGGTTTCTCCCGCGCCGGGGATGACGATGACGTGAGTTCCGCAGCAATTCATTCCTGAATCCGCAGTGACAGCCCTCCCAGCTCGTCTCCGTTGCCCCATCGGTGGATGTTCTCCTGTTGCCATCCCTGGCGAAGTCCCGCCCGCCTCCCTGCATCCTGCCCGCAAAGAGTGCCGCCCCCATCTCTCCTTCCCGGCCCCCCCTCTCTTCTCCCCCTCCCCTCCCCTCCCTATCTCCTCCCCACCTTCCCCGCCCCCAGGCTCTTCTACACGCTTCTTGGCGATTTTAGTGTACCGCGCTTGTTTGAGTTTCTCACACTCCGGGGGTCCTGACCCTTGAGACCAGGTAACTCGATGGGCAGCGTGGGTAGGGTTCGAAATTCGTCGAACACGTGGCCGAGCCTTGCCCCTGCCTCCCACCGATTCAGGAGAATCGATGGTTGGTTGGGGTAGGGTTCGCGTGTCGCCACCTGCCGAGGCTGGCTGGACATCGACCTCTTCATGAACTGCAATATGATCAGGCCCCCCCCCCACCCCTTGCATGCTCTGTGCGGCATCGGGCCGCGGGTAAAGTAGCACGCCGTATCCTCGTCGTCGTTCTCTCGTGTGGAACTTGCGGGGGGCCCACGTCCGTCCAGACATCCGCTGCGCCCTTCGACAGCCCAGGGGGGCGTCGGAGGGCCTCGGACGGCTCCCGAATGGCCACCGACAAGCTCGAGTCGCCTCGGCCACGGCACAGGTTGGCGGGGCCACGGACGGCCGCCCAGCGATCCGCCGCAAGTTGCGGCCCTTCTTGCTCCTGCTGTTCGCCTTGCTCCGCCGCCACGCCGCTTGCGGCTACCCGTGCCGGTTGCCCCAGCAGCGGGCCTGTGCGAGGGCGTTCGAAGAGGTACGTTGTGAGGATCGTGGTCCAACCGTGCCGCACCATGCTCTGTCAAACACGTATGGACAACGCGACAGTCCACGAATATCGATAGTTGAGTCGGTTTTGCAAGTACGTGTTGAGTAAGGTTAATGTGTCACTCCATCCCGATAAGTACACACCAGGACGTGCGCTATATGCTATACGCGTGCATATAACTTGCGCGCTTTTGAATTTTGCATCTACGCCAGAGCGATTGTTTTTCTTGGAGAGGTATCAGGCCTTTGCAGGCGCAACATACATATGATATTATGCTGATTCCACACGCGATGTTCCAAGCACGGGGCCTGCATCGTGACTGAAGGAAGGAGTGACATCGAAGTTGTGATTTTGAGAGTGATGCACGCCAGCCGACAGTTTTTGAACAGGTGAAGGGGGGGAAATCAGGAGGATGGTGTCGGGCGAGGGTGAGGAGATGGAGGCGAGGGTCGGAAAGGGAGGGCCAGTAGGTGCAGGAGTGGGAACCGCCACATGAGCTTCCAGCGTTCGCGGCGTTGCGTGTGCGGTCTCGCTGTAGGGCGTGTGGGCTCTCCTCTCTCCGTCCCCCTCTCCCACTTCCCATCCCTCTCCCCCTGATCCACATCTCCTCCCCTTGCTCCTCCGTCAGCGACCCCTTTCCCCTGCCCCCCCACGCCCCCTCTTCCCACATCGTCCTCGCAGGACCCGATTCCATCATTCTCATTCCCCCTCTGCACAATCGACTTGCGACTCCGATTTCCCTTTTCCCTCCCCCTCCACATCAATCTGTCCTACCTCGCCCCCTTCGATGGGCTCCGATGACGGGACCTCGACGGCTTTGGTGACGGCCTCGACGCCGATGAAGAGGTCGACAGCATCGACGACGAAGACGACGACCGGGGCGACGACGTCGATGGGCTCCCCTGTCAACGACGACGAAGACGACAGCGATGGCGACGACGTCGAGCGGGGGCCCGTGCAAGGGCTGCCGCTCCCTGCGCCAGGGCCATGGGTGCTAGCTACGAGATGGTCCAGCTCGCCGCCCTCCAGTCCGCCGAGCTGGAGCTGCGGGAGGAGCTGGCGCGGGAGCGGGAGCGTCGAGCTGGCAGAGACGGGGGTCAATGCGAAGGGGGATCAGCCAGAGGGATTCCTCTCAGGGGCTCGTGGGGTTCCTCTCAGGGGCCTCCTGGAGGGCCCTTGGGGGCATCTAGGGTGAATTCTTGGCGCTTTGCGCAACCCCACCAGCTGTGGACGTCCTCCACTGTGCCCCTGGGGCTCGCCCGCGGCGGCTGCAGTAGCCTGAGCGGGTGGCCAGGCGGTCAGGCGGCTCGGTGGATCCCCCATCCACGGATCGCCCCATACATACGCGGCTGGCATTGGCGGGCCTCTTCGCAGCAGGTCGACACTGTGGTACTCGGAGTGTCGATGGTGTCCACCGACATTGAGGGTTACTGTGACGGGATGCCTTGCCTGAGTGTTGCCGCCCAGTACAGCCCGCGTTTTTCGCCTCGTCGCACCTCCCCGGGCCTTCTCCGCTGGTGCCGACTTGCCCGTCGGTCGCCGCCGGCCCCGCCAACTCTGCGGTGGAGTTTGTTGGCTGCGCGCTGAGTGGTTCAGCCTTCAGCGCCGACGGCCCTTGTCTTCCACCGCCAGCACCCTGTCCCCCGGGCTCGTGAATCGTTGTCCGCCTGGGAAGCTGCTCGGAGCTTGGCGCCGCAAAGGGCGACTCACTCCGTTGCACTCGCACTTATGGCCGCTTGTTCACTTCGGTTTACTGGGCGGCGCCTAGGTGCGACTGCTTGTGAATGTGGATCACTTTGCTCAGTGCACGTGCGCCGCACGCTTTGTGTGCAATTAGCTTTGTACCGCCGTCCTGGACATCGCCTGTTGCCGCCAGACCGTTGTCGCGCGGCCGCCGACAAAAAAAAAAAAAAACCCACCAGCCCATCCAAAGAAGATGCCCCGAGGAATTGCCTTGATTAGGGAAGTGGGCAGCACACAGAGGAAGGGCCTCCCAGTGGAGGCCTCAGGTCCCGGGCGCCTCTTAGAGCGTCTTGGGTGCCTCGGAGAGCTTCTTGAGATCTCTTGGGGGTCTCTTGGGAGCCTCTTGGAGACCTCTTGGGCGCCTGCTGAGGCCTCTTGGGGTCTCCTGGGCGCCTCTTGGGGCCCTCTTGAAGCGCTCTTGGGCGCCTTGGGAGCGCTCTTGGATCCCTCTTGGGCCATCTTGGGGTCATATTGAGGCCTCGGATGACCTTCGGGAGCCAAAAGGCGAGAAAACCCAACACGTGGATTTTGGAAGGATGTTGGAAGGATTCCCAAGGTTCCCAAGGTTTTGGAAGGATTTTGGCCTCTTTGGGGCCTCCTGGGGGAGCTCTCTGGCCACTTGGAGCCGTCTTGGAGCCGTCTTGGAGCGGTCTTGTGGCCTCTTGGAGCATCGTGGGGAACCATCTTGAGGCATCTTTCTTGGGATATCTTGAGCCATCTTGGAGGTCATCTTGGGCTCCCCCAGGTGCGCTTGGAGTCATCTTAAGCAGTGCCCCCCCCAGGATGCCAAAATGTGGCCAACGCATTCGTAAAATCAGCGGTGTTGGCATTCTCGCCGAGGCCTCTTGGAGCGTTTTGGGTGCCTCTGGGGGGCCTCTTGGGGGTCTCTTGGGAGCCTCTTTGGGGCATCTTGGGGGCCTTTTGGGGGCCTCTTTGGGCCTCCTGGCCACCTCTTGGGACCCTCTTGGGGCACCCTTGGGAGCCTTGGGGGCGCTCCTGGGGCCATCTCGGAGGAGATCGATCAAAAAAGGGGGGTCCTCAATTAGCACCGCCCCCCGAACAGGCCCAAATGGGGCCAAATCCTTCGTAAAACCAATGATTTGTTTTCCTCGCCGCGGCCGTTTTGGACGCCCTGCCGCTCGCGGGGCGCTCCGTCCAGGTCCAGGAGAGGGGGTAGGGGGAGGGGTCAAGACACCCTCCCCGCCCGCAAGCCGTCCCGCTCACCCCCACCCGCCCTCCCAACACATACGTACCACCCCAAAATGGCCTGAGCCGCAGCATATGCAGCACTCGTCTTTGGATGGGCAGCTACTGGGGGCGAATCCGGCGCCGCCGCCACCTCCGCCGCCCGCCGCCGCCGCCGCCGCGCCGCCGCCGCCGCGCCGCCGCCGCCGCCGCCGCCGCTGCTGCCGCTGCCGCCGCCGCCGCCGCCACCGCGCCGCCGGCCGCCGCCGCCGCCGCCGCCGCCCCCGCCGCCGAAACGCCGCCGCCGCGCGCGCCCGCACCGCCGCCGCCACCGCCGCCGCCGCCGCCGCCCGCCCCGCCGCCGCCGCCGCCACCGCCGCCGCCACCGCCGCAGCCGCTGAGCCGCTGCCCCGCCGCCACAGCCGCCGCCGCCGCGCGCCAAGTGTACTCTGTTTTGTTTTTTTGGGATGGGGGGGAGGCCGCATCGGGTTCGCTGCGCATGCTCCGAATTTGGAGGCAGAGTGTGTTTTGTATGTTTTTTGTGCAAGGATGGTGGGGGGGGGCCCAGGGACTCGGGTTGGCTCCAGTCGCCTGGGGGAGGGGGTGTATACTAATAGGGAACAGTGATCAAGCCCCTCCCCGCCCGCAGGCCGTGTCGCTCATTCCGACCCGCCCTCCCAACACACACGTAGCACCTTATCCGGGCCCGAGCCGCAGCATATTCAGCAGTCGTCTTTGGATGGGCAGCTAGTGGGGGAATCCGCCGCCGCCGCCGCCCCCGCCGCCGCCGCCGCCGCCCGCCGCCGCCGCCGTTGTCCGCCGCCGCCGCTGCCGCGCCGCCCCGCCGCCGCCGCCGTCGCCGCCGTCGGCCGCCGCCGAATCGCAGCCGCTGCCGCCGCAGCCGTTGCCGCCACCGCCGCTGCCGCCGCCGCCGCCGCCCCCGTCGCCGCCGCCGCCGACCCCGCCGCCGCCGCCACCGCCGCCGCCACCGCCGCAGCCGTCGCAGCCGCCACCCCCGCCGCAGCCGCCGCAGCCCGCGCCACCGCCAAGTGTATTTTGTATTGTTTTTTTGACAGGGATGGTAGGGGGAGGCCGCATCGGGTTCGCTGCGCACGTTCCGAATTTAGAGGAAGCAGAGTGTGTTTTATATCGTTTTTGTTCCAAGGGATGTTGGGGGGGGGCCCTCATTGACTCGGGTTGGCTCCCGGTCGCCTGGGGGAGGGGGTGTATACTAATAGGGAACAGTGATAAGCCCGTCCCCGAAGGGGAAGGAAGGGGGACGGAAGAGGAACCGCCGTAAACCGCCTACGCCCAGAGGGCTGGTGGGATGCTGGGCCTCCGCTGGAGCTGCGGGAGGAGCCAGCGCGGGAGCTCGGCTCGGAGGGCCAGTCCCGACTTCCGCCCGAAGAGTTCGGCCGCTCAGAACAGGAAGGAACATCTGCGGCACACCCGAAGGGGTTATGCGTTCGGGTGCACCCCCTGTCGGGGACGGGCGCCCTCCCCCCCACGTTCCGCCTGGTAGACCCTCGAGTGGGGCCCAGTCAACGACGAGCCACACTGGGGCATCAGAGGACCGCGTGGCCAGCCGGGGTGGCCATCGGCGCCGCGAAAGGCCAGGGGAAGAGGCGGAGGAGGAGGAGGAGGAGGAAGGGGAAAAACCGGCGCCGGCGGAGGGGGAGGAGGCGCAGGCGGAGGAGGCGGAGGCGTCGGAGGAGGAAAAGAAGTGGCGTGCTTGTTTTGGGGGGGGGTCCTCGGTCCCCGGGCGTCGGCGGGCCGAGGGCCTGACGTCGACACGGCACCAGTCCGCAGCGCGACGACGACGACGACGACGACGACGACGACGACGGACAAGACGACGACGACGACAACCGACGACCACGACGGACGACGATAACGACGACAACGCCGACGACGACGACGACGACGACCACAGACGACGGACGACGGACGACGACGCCGACGATACCGACGACGACGACGACGATCGACGACCACGGACCACGGACGACGACCACGGACGGCGGACGACGATAACGACGACGACGCCGACGACGACGACGACGACCACGGCCGACGGACGACGGACAACGACGACGACGACGACGACGACGACGACGGACGACGGACGACGACCACGACGACGACGATAACGAAGACGGCGCCGACGACGACGACCACGGACAACGGACGACTGACGACGATAACGACGACGACGTCGACGACGGACGACGAAAGTCGACGACGACGGACGACGGACGACGACGACGACGACGACGACGACGACGACGACGACGACGACGACGGACGACGGACGACGACCACGACGACGACGATGACGAAGACGACGGCGACGACGACGACCACGGACAACGGACGACTGACGACGATAACGACGACGACGTCGACGACGGACGACGAAAGTCGACGACGACGGACGACGGACGACGACGACGACGACGACGACGACGACGACGACGACGACGACGACGACGACGACGGCGACGGACGACGGACGACGGACGACGGACGACGGACGACGACGACGACGACGGACGTCGGACGACGAAAACGACGACGTCGACGACGACGGCGACGACTGACGACGGACGACGACGACGACGACGACGACGATGACGACGACGACGACGACGGACGACGGATGACGACGACGACGGACGACGACGACGACGACGTCCACGGACGATGGACGATGG